TGGGGATTCAACTCTTTCTGCCCAGGGCACAGCGCACCAAGCAGGAACGTTGTCACTGCCGTCACGGCGTACTCATCGATAGTGGCATTGGCTGAACTGCACTTCTCTCATCAACGTGACAAGTGCCCCAGAGACACCGGCGGCCACGACGTCACGTTATTCTGTTGAAATTTGTGTTCCATGTTCCATGCACATGGCGCTGGTAGTCTTGAACATGGGCTTTTCTTCCAGCATGCTATGCACGTTGAACAGCACCATATTCGGTTAGGCAAGCGATAGTGTGGTTGCATGTGCCAACTAACGCGTGTCCCAGATGTTGGCCCCGTGTGTCGACGTCGACAGTAACATCCGCGAGCGACTTGCAGTGGCTTCGACGAAGCAAAGCCTGCATGTTGGCGTTGGCAGCGCAGTTGGAGTCGGCGAGAATCTGACAAGTCGTGACCTTCGGACGTCGGTTTCGTTCGTTTCATTCTGGAAATTTCCTAGAACAAGCCGCAAGCCTGCACGCCGCACAATGGCCCCACATGATTGGCTAAAATTACAACAAGGCATCATCCACCACCAGCCCGATCTCGCACGCTCCTTGGGGACATGGAAATTCACACGCGGGACGTGTGCGGCAGAGTCTGTGAGCACAGAGCCACTGCATGGATCCTTGCTGTGTCTTTGGCGGGCTGTGTGCACCGAATGGATGGCCCTGTGACCCATGTACCGTCTCGTTTATAGTGGGTGGACCTGGCCGTGTTATTGGTCAAAAGTTGACCACGCTCTGGAATGTTTCGACACGACCAGATTGGCGATCTGGTTCTACAGGTGTCCAGCACCGCGACGCAGGCCCGCGACTTGACAGGCTCGAGCACCCAGGACATTGTCGCGCCCATGTCTAGCCCTCGAAAGCTGTCTGCGTCCGTGACGGCAACCTCTCGGCTATCAGCTGACTTTGTCGACGACGTTGCCAACGAGGGTTGCGACGACGTCCATATCTCTGTCGAGGACCTGAAGGACCAAAACCGGTGGACGCCAAGTGATGCATGCCACTCATGTCGATGTTGCGGCGATGATTTCAGCTTGTTTCAAACCAAACACCATTGCCGCGCGGTGCGAATTCCACATGTACCTCTGAACCATGCATAACAGAGGTCATGTAGTGTGGCCATGTCATTTGTCTCGAGTGCGTGGTGAAGAGGCCCGTCGTGTTGCCTATGGCTGGTCGCACCGTTATCAAGTTTTGCAAGAACTGCGTGCATTCGAAAAAGGAACAAGGTTCGTCGAGTGCTATGCAGGCGACAAGGGTGATGGAACCGGCAGCAGCATTGGAGGCATCCAACAGTTCCCAGTCGCACGGGAGCACCCACAGCGGCCGATCCGACACTCGGATAGCCGGCGAGGGGACGACCCACAGTCGGGGTTTTGAATCGGGCAAAGTCCCCGTGCTGCCGTATCGAGCCTTGATGCATCCCGACGACTGGGCGCCAGATTCCACCCGGAAGGAGTGTGTTGTGTGCCATGTGAAGTTTTCTCTTTTTGGCAAGCGCAGACACCACTGTCGAGTCGTACGTACTCCTCTTCAGCTGATAGTCTGTCGACGTCACGGGCGTCGTCCATGTCGTAGTGTGGGGAAATTATGTGCAAGGACTGCACGGCGATGCGCGAGGCGATTTTGCCACGCGTAGGTGTAGCCGAGGTGCGTGTGTGTTTAGTTTGTGTACCGCATCCCACGGAAGTGCCGTGACTCCACACCAGTGCATCACTGGATTGCCACTTTCATCATCTGCAGCCGTAGACAGAAGGGTTTCGATTGCAATACATTCTAACGATTGATTCATTCTCTCGGCTGCGCATGTGGAGCGCCACTACGCCGCGTTCGTGTCATGCGCTTGTAAATGGTGTTGGGCGGTGCGGTGCTCGTTCGATAACATTTCGCAGTGGTGCTGATTGAATACTGTGTATCTCGTTGAAGGCGATTGGTTGATTTTAAGCCAATCCAATGCGTTTCTTCAGGATATGTAAGGTATCTGGGGCTATATTTTAAGCCAATAGTGTCGCGGGAAACAATGTCGACCTCGACATGGTCGCACTGCACACGAAGTTCTCAACGAGTGCGATGGACGTGTCCAAGCGAATGTCTACAGCCTGCCAGGGCGGAGCTGGTTGGGGTGCTCGAGTGTTCAGTCCGTCCGTCCTGCGCAGACTGTCGTGAACCTGGGAGAGGTGCGGACGCAGCTGCGGAAAGGCGGCGACCGCGTCGTGTCGTAATTTCGGATGGTGCGCGCCGATTGGCTATATTTTGCTGTGTACAGCCTCCGTGAGCAGTCAGTTTGTTTGGTGTGTGGAGGGATGAGCAACACCCCGATGAGCATCGGCGCCAAGGCCATGTCCCAGCCGAACCTTGTACGCGGCCAGAGCGTCGAGATCAACCTGCGCGCGATCGGTGACGCCACCAAGAACAGCGTCATCATGATTGAAAACTTCAAGCACCAGGACGACTGGGTCTCCAACTCGGAACGGAGCCGATGTCACATATGCACGAAGCTTTTCGGAGCGTTCCGCCGCAAGCACCACTGCCGCGTGGTACGTCCGTCATCATGCTTGATCGATCCGTGGTGGTCATGGTGAGCATCGATGTAGTGTGGCGAAGTGGTTTGTAGCTCGTGCACGTTGAAGAAGCAGGTGATGCTCCCGATGGTGGGCCAGACCGAAGCCCGCGTGTGCGTCACGTGTGTGCTGGCGTACTGCAAACCGATACAGTCTGGCAACGGCAGCTTTGCCGTCGACGGGTCCGTCATGTCCCCCGTGGCGTATTCGTTGCCGTCGAGTGGCAGTTCGCGGGACGGTCGCGCGACGACGCACAGCGAGTACAGCCGGCACAACAACACGCAACTGCAATCACCAGACGTCATGGGTAGCCACGGGGACTTCGTCGATCCGACCACGTACTTTCAAAGTGAACCGTCTCCGTTCGACTACGCGCTCGACTTCGACTGGGAGCACCCGTGGCCCAAGCCGCCGGTTCCGGTGGACGAGTCCCACCGCCTGGACGTCCTTCGGAGCTTTGATATCCTTGGCACACCACAAGAAGACGTGTTTGACATCATCTGCGACTTGGTCAGCAAGTCTCTCAACTGTCCTATTGCAGCCGTCTCGTTCATCGACCAGGAGCGTCAATGGTACAAGGCCAGCGTTGGCCTTATCCAGGACGAGATCCCGCGCAACGTGAGCTTCTGCGCCCATATTTTGTACACGAAACAAAGCATCGTCGTTCCCGACACAACTCTGGACAAACGATTCGATCGGAATCCTCTCGTGACCGGCCGCGCCGGCATTCGATTCTACGCCGCCGCGCCCATCATTTCTCCCGCAACGGGCTACGTCCTAGGAACGGTCTTTGTCTTTGACAACCATCCCCGGCCACGCGACCAAGTCGACTTAGCGACCCTGGAAAAGCTTGCGGGCGTCGCCATGAAGAACCTGGAAGACCGACGCGCGTCCGTGGCCAGCAGCAGCGCCGCGTTTGACCACCACTCCGTACATCGCGCCTCGACTGCGACGGAAAGGATGTCCATCGTGACCTCCGTTGCTAACAACGACGCCCAAAGCCCCCATATCACTCGACCTTCTGCGACCGGAGCACAGGTCGTTACGCCGACGTCGTCGGTCGGGTCGGATGCCACCACCCTTCCACTCCCTGCTCTTCCTCGTACCGAGTCTCCACCTTCAAGCTGTGTTGTATCGACACCAAGCGCCGAAGCTGCCACCCCCACAGCAGTTGTGACATCCGAACCACCCAAGATGGAAACGATGCTGATGAACTTGCTGAGCCAGACAACCATGACCCAGCAGCAACTCGCCAAGCAACAAGGGTCCATGTACGCCACACTATCAGGGCACAGTAGCCAGATCGACAAGTTAGCACAAGCCGTGGCAAGAATGGAAGCCAAGCTCGGTGGCGGCGCTCTGAACGGGGCGTCGACGCTCCCAAACGATAGCAGCGACACTCCCCCCGACGATGGCAAGGAACAGCAACCAGGTGAAAAAGAATAAAACGTAACGTTAGTAGAGAAGTGGTCCCACCTTTTACGGGTTGGTTCGGCTGTTCCAAGCCGTCCCACGTCGGCCTCGCCTGCTGGCACGTTGCATACCGAGGCAGCCGCATATGCCTTGGGCTGGTTTGCCACAAAGCCCACGTTGTTGTACGGTCGGCTCGAATAACGTCAAACTCCCCACTGCATGGTCTGAGTTGAGGGAGTCCTCAAGATTTGCTGACATCAGTACGGCATAGGCGCGCGACCAAACGTCGCTAGGGAGAGGGATGGCCTTACAGCCGTTGCGCCGCTTTTCGTGTCGTGAGGATAAGGGAGATCAATCGATGACATGACTGGCGTGGGTCCGCTGCTTTCGCCGGACCGAGCTTGCGCAGACGATGCCGAGTCGCTACTTTACGCTTTAAGGCAAATTTGTGTTCATATCCGGACGATTTTCGGATATGGCGAATTTTCTACTAAATAGGTCGATTTTGGGGAATACTGTCCTCGAAACAGGTTGCGCAAAATGCCGTTTTCGGGGTCAAGACGATTTAAGGAAATGTCGTCGGGTTCGTGGAGGGCAAAAAATCTGGTCGGGGACAACGGAATATGAGACATCGTTGGTCGGCGGCCACGGCGGTCGCTTGCTAGGGATGGCACATGCCATGGAGGAGCCGTGTATAACAATAACAAAGCGGTGCCAGCGACAGCGAGATAGCCAGGACGACCGGGAACAGGAAGGCGTGCATGGAACAGAGCCCCACCCATCAGAGCAGGCGTGAGTAAGAGTCGCGGATTAGACGATGGTACAGTATGATTCAAGTTGAAGGGTCAGCGAGTCTGGATTCATTTGGGATTTCGTAGGTCAGCAGGGCAACAACCAGCCAAGCCAACCTTACTGTGGTCCGCTGCACAGCACCGGCACGCCGACCACCACCCACCGATCATCCCATCCCATTCAGGCACATCCGAGACGCCGTCGTCGCCAAAGGACAGATTGCTCTCATGGACGAGCCCGACTTCCTTCACGCCACGCCAGAGTGCCTCTTGCCTCCCGAGGCATGGGTGAACAAGAAGGAACGTTTCCGGTGCCACGTGTGTGCGCAGAAGTTCAACAACATCTACCGCCGACGCCACCATTGCCGCATGGTACATGCACATCAGGACTCCCTCGGTCGTCGATAGCGGATGCATCCTCACGTGCATGATGGAATAGTGCGGCGAGCTCTTTTGCAGGCAATGTATCGTCAACAAATTCCTCCACATCGCCGGCCGGGACAAAGTCACGGTCAAAGTGTGCACGCCGTGTGCGTATGAGGACGCGAGCCAAGCCAAGCGCCGCCGGCCGCGGTCACCCATAAGCTTTCGAACGTCGCGACGCCTCGAGCATATCACCAACTGCTCGGACGACGAAAGCAACGACGAAGCAGCCACCAAGGACCTGCTGAACTCGCCCGTGCTTTCGGTTCTGTCGTCGTCGCAGAGTTTCGCCACCCCATCGGCAGCCCGGCGATCGATCTCTGCTCCTGTCCACGATCTCGACTTTGACGAAGCTCGGTACTCTGGCCCGCTCCACTGCCCGAGCGCGCCGTGCCTTATCAATGAGATTGAGCGCCTCGGGGCCCTCAAGTCCCTTCAGATTCTCTACTCCCCACCCGAGGAAACGTTCAACGTGATCTGTGAACTCGCCGCCACGACGCTGCATTGCCCCATGGCGATCGTGAGCTTCATGGACCTCGAGCGCCAGTGGTTCAAGGCCAAAGTCGGGTTTTCCAAGAATCACTTTTCCCGACGTATCTCGTTTTGCGCCCATGCCCTGGCTACGCCAGAGCCGACGATCGTCCTCGACACACGACTCGACCCGCGGTACACGCGGAATCCGCTTGTGACAGACTACGGCGTTGCATTCTACGCCGCCGTTCCTCTCGTGACTGCCGACGGATGGCCAGTCGGGACCCTCGCCGTATTTGACTACAAACCCCATCCGACCTGCGACGTCAGTTCCCTTCTTCCGCTCGCTCGAGGCATCATGAAGCAACTCGACGAACGAAAAGCCAACATCCAGGGATCGAGAAGACGGCGGCAGGCCGCGTCCTTCGATGATCGGTGCCATGCCACATCCCTCGTCTCGAAGAAGGTGCATGCCACACCAACTTTTGGCCCGCAAAAGACCACACTGTCGGCGATGCCGCCTCCCTTGTCGTTGGAACCGACCGAGACAGGAGACCCTGGCGTAAGTCCTTTGACGTCGATGCGGTCGTCGTCGACCATGCAGAGCGCGGCGTCCGCATCGTCTCCCGCGCCCAAGATGGAATCAATTCTGTTCGACTTGCTCAACAAAACGAGCGAGACACAGCAGCAACTGGCCAACCAGCAAGGCACGATGTTCGCGACGTTGGGCCACCACTCGGAGCAGATTGGAAAGATCTCGGAGGCCCTCGCCCGCCTTGAATCGAAACTTGGATCACCCGTGGCGTAACCTTACGGACGGCAAAGGTATCTGTTTTGTAAAGCACGTATACGTAACTTGGATGGAAGCCGGCGGCAAGGCCATGGCATCTCCGATCGATTGGAATCCGTGCGTGTCGAACGGAATGGGAATCGATAGAGTAGGATGTGGCTTCAATGAAAGACTCGGTGTCGTCGGCGGCTTCGGAGGCACGTGCTCTATGCTTCGTGTGGAATGCGCTGGCACACACATCGTGTTTAATGACATGCCATCTCAATGGACGCGACAGCGATCAAGCGAGGTGTGGTCAGCTCCCGATGCCAGGACGCTCACGTGCCTTCGGCGCTGTTCATGCTATGTGGGTCGCCAAGCATTCTGGTTTGAACCGAGCCCAAGCACCAGTGAAACTTCGAACCCACGGCGGCGTGTGGAGCCAGCTCCAGGTTTGGCTGCTGGATGCGTCTCGCACGTTTACCACAGTGGCTCCAGTCGAGCCCAGCCCTTGTGACTCATGTGCTCAGAACATCGACATGCCTTGTACGTACCTAAACTTATTACGATGGCTAACCTTGAATTGTTTTTACGCCCACATGGTTCATTCGTCGAGATTCATTGCCGACATGTCCACCGGCGCGGTAGACAATGCAGTCGTCGGTGCTAAAACTTATGGGCCCCGCTGTACGTAGAAGCGATGACGTCGCACCGTGCATGCATCGCCCTGTTACCGCCATGCCGCGTGCGTGCCGTTCGCGCTATAGCTCATGGCTGGTCCAGCTGGCCTCGGACCATGTTTTCAGGCCAGCTCCCCTACCAAGTGCCGTGTCGTAAACGAATGCTTCATATTGATTGGCTAAAATGATTCCATTCACCAATCATAGGGCTTTCAATCAGATCAATTGTCCAATCGCTTTGTACCAGCTGCCTCGCTGCTAGACGCGGTGGATTTTCTGAACCGAGTGGCATCTCGGGGAGGCAGCTGGACGGTGGGTTCGCCTGAGCCGTCGTTCCTGGTCTTTGGGGCACGGGTGTTATTTGTGATTTGCAAGCGCAACCATGTTGGCCCCAGTCCAGCCCAGTCCCGCCTCAAGCCATGATCTTGTGGACGCGCCGGATGAGTTGGACGACGCCGTGCGGTTGCAGGACATCCTCGCACCAGCCCACTGGGTCGACAAGCGAGAGCGCGTAGCGTGCGGCGACTGTGGCCTCAAGTTTAGTAACTTGTTTCGTCGGCGCCACCACTGCCGCCTGGTAAGGACACACACGCGCGTCTTCATGTAGTCATCTATGCCAACGTTCCAAGTGTGTAGTGCGGCGACCTCTTTTGCAAGCAGTGTGTCGTACGCAAGCTGCTTTGCATTCCACGGCAAGATAAAGTGTTCGTCAAGATTTGCAAGGCGTGCTCCGTGGAGGAAACAGGCACAGCCAGCTCGTCGACGACATCGTCCGTCAAGAGTCCTCGACACCAACCACACGACACGACTCGCGCGTCGGCCTCGTGGCGGTCGATGGTCCAAACCGGTTTGTCCAAGTCGTCGCCAAGCCTGCGAACTCAGCATCCCCTTGAACAGCCACTTGCCGGGACCGGTTCAACGGCCCAACGCCAACGGGTTGACGTTCAAACGAACGAAACGGACAGGTTGGACGTCGTGCATGGCTACAACATTGACTACACGGCGGACCCGCACGACGACATTCTACAGCTCTGCCAAGACGCGGCAGCAGCATACATGTGCCCCATTGCGGCAGTGAGCGTGATGGAGGCTGACGTGCAGCACGTCGTAGCGTCGATTGGGATTGCTTTGCGAACTATCCCCCGAGATGTCGCGTGGATGTGCGACACCGTCGTATCGACGAATCGACCTCTTGTGGTGCTGGACGCCATGCAAGACGCTCGATATCGGCATTGCGACTTGGTCCAGAACGACGGCATCCGCTTTTACGCAGCTGTGCCCGTGGCAAACATGAACGGATGGGTACTGGGGACTCTTGCGGTGATGGCCACTACGCCCCGCGAACACGTCGATATTGCACCGTTGGTGGCGCTGGCAGCGGCCGTCATGACACATCTTCGAAGAACCAAGGCCAGAACGAGGCGCAAGCGGACGTTGTCATGTGGCAGTGCAGAGAGGCCATCCCCTGACCAAGGGCTCCGACTGCAAGACTCCAACTCGGAATCCCTCGTCATGTCGCTGCTCGCTAAGACCACACAAACCCAAGTATCGCTGGCCCAGCAACAAACGGCCATGGCTACCACGCTCGGAGACCACTCAAACAAGATCTCGCAATTAGTCCAAGCGATCGAGCGCATGGAAACCATGCTGTGCGACGACATCGGCGCTTAGCAGGACACTTTTGAGTGTTGTGAAAGACAAGCTGGTTCAAGGCACTCCATGTGTAAGCAAGTGTTTGTACGATTGGCTCCAGGGTTGATTCGAGCACCCTTCCATCGGCAACAGTCTCTTCCGCGTGCGTAGTACTGCAGCTTGCACTACGAATTGATCGCGTCGACAGGGTCAGCGCCAGAATGACGTCCGAAACTTAGCGCATGAAGACGAGTGTCGGGTGAAGCGTCAATGGAATTCGCACTCACACACACGTCCGAAGGGGCCATGATCCGAGGACAGGAGATCCTTACCATGGCAAGATGGGTGATTCGCACAACATTGAGAGCATTGTTTCTTTGATCCGTTCGCTACTGGAGCCTGCCGCACCACCGCCCACCTTCCGCGAAGCGCGGTCGGGAGGGAGCATCGACAGACGCAAAATATTGAAGGACGATGATCTGATCAAATTAGTTTAAAAGTCTATTTCGAACGAAATTGCGCCTCATCCACGATCTAGCACCGACACGAGGCAGGCACGCAGATGCAGACGGGTCTCGTTCCTTGGGTCCTTGTGGGAGTCCTGGCGATCACAGTGCAGTGGGGCAATTCCGTATGGCGGTCGCAACTTCCTCCCGCGCTGACGACGTCGGAAGCTTCTCTCCGTGGTGACTTTGCCGGCGCCGACGCCTACTCGACACTGGCCACCATCGCGAATGCGGCACATCCAGACGTGTCCGTGGCCAACCAACACGTGTACAACTTCATCTTCGACAAGCTCCAAGACCTACAAACGCTCAACGGAAGCAACAAGCTCGTGGTGCACACTCCCCGCCACGACCTCGGCAACATCTCCGTGCCTCGTTCCGACCCGCCGCCCCCGCGAAAAGAGCGCTGCGACGCATACGCCGACTTCTTCAACGCATCTCAAATCATCGTCAAGGTGCCTGGCATGTTTGCGTCGTCAGTTCTGTTGTCAGCGCATTACGATTCCGTGAATGGTTCGTTTGGTGCGTCGGACGACGGCGCCGGCGTCGCTATTGCGCTGGACATCCTGCGCACCGTGGTCACGGCCAAGACGCGACTGCGCAACTCGCTGGTAGTGTTCTTCAACAATGGCGAAGAGGATTGCCTGTGCGGGTCCAAGTGGTTCCTCGACCAGAATTACAACTCGCGCCTCCACGTGCAAGCATTCGTCAACCTGGAAGGCGGCGGGACGGGCGGCCGCGCGATTCTGTTTCGAGCCACAGACGAAGTGCTGGCGTCCACGTATGGCCAAGTCGCGCCGATGCCGCATATGAACAGCATCGGTGGATCCATCCTCACCGCGCTCGGGAGCTACACCGACTACGAATCGTACCAAGGCGCGGACATTCCGGGCGTCGACGTTGCATTCTACGAGCACCGCGAATTCTACCACACGCCTCAAGACAACCTCGGCCACATCTCGGCCCAAGACCTCCAGCACGGAGGCAGCAACGTTCTTGCCTTCGTCATGACGCTGCTCCACGACCCATTCCTCGGTAGATTTCGGGCCGACGACCCCGCCGTGTATTTTGACTTTGTCGGCCGATGGGGGATTACGATGACTACCAACATGCGATTTCTTGCGCTGCTTGCGTCGTACATGGCAGCAGGGGCCACCATTCTCGTGTACGCTGCGCACTTTGAGCCGACGAAACCTATTAGCGTCGTCATGTGGTCCCTGACTTCGACGTGGTCGACAGTCGTGAATGCATTTGGTCTGTCGTGGATCGTTGGTTTGGTGGCAGTGCTTCCTGTAGCCATGTTTGTCGCGATCACGAAAAGCGCGGCCATGTCATGGGCCGTGATCCCCGCGGCCGTTGTCGGCCATGTTGTTGGTGTGACGTTTGCCGCGGAGCAGTGGCGTTTCCGCCACCACCTCGGCGAAGATCTGCCCCCGTTCACCCGAGACGTTGCCCACCTCGCGACTGCGTCGGCGTCCTTTGCCAACGTCGTCAGCTCCGTCGTCGTTCTCAAGTTGCCAGGACTATACTTGCTTCCCATCGCCAGTGTGACATTTTCAGCGCTGACGACCGCAGTGCTGGTCGTAATGTCCGCGATGTCACCAACGCGGGACTCGTTCGGCGGGGAGTCCATGCCACTGCTCCGACTACAGCAAGCCGCGAACTACGCTGCGATTCCTCTCCACTCGGATGCCGCCGCGAAAGGAGCGACCCGTAGCTGGGTCTTCCTTGCCGCCATGGCCGGGCCGCTGGCTGTATATATGGCCGTGTCATTTCACTTTGCGATCGACGTTGCTGTGTCCCTCGAGTCGGTGGGCAGTACGGACGCCGGCGTCATTGTCGCGTTGCCGACGTTGCTGACGCCGTCGCTGCACCTCCTCGTTGTGTGGTTTGCGCATTTCTCGATTCGTCCCGTAGTGTTTATCGCAGCGTTTGCGCTGTACACCAGTCTCTTGGTTGCCGCGTTGATCGGCACCGCCTTTTAACTCAACCAACAAAATTCCCCCGACGAAGGCATGTGCCATGTGCCAGTACTCGTTTGCCACAAAATGTCCGGCGGCATTTTGTGGACGCTTGCACCAGGCATTCTCCCACCCGTTCTACCACTGGCGCTTTAACGGCGACGAGTGATCGTGCAGGCTGCTAGTGCCATCACTGGTTTGCCCGAGGCGCCGCCGGTCACAATTTGCTGGTTGGCACCGCACGGACAATCCCAGCATACATCGTGCTGCGACCCATTCCATGTCTGCTGTCCGATCTTGAGGACTGCGGACATTTGCATGCATCCCAACACCATTCCAAGTTCTGAGCTCACTTGGATCCTTGATACGACGTGTGGCACTCAATTTCAGCGCAGGATGACGGTGGCGGCCAGCAAAGGATTGCAGCGCCAAAGGGCCATCTTGGCCATGTAACAAAGTTCCAACTTGCCCAGCGACATGACACACATGACACTTCGTATAGGTGAATAAATAGGATGAGTGGGTGTGTGGCTGCCTCAGACTAGTCAGTGGAGTTTGCGGCGATCCTTGGTGTCTTGAATCAGCTTGGCCGTGTGCTTCGACATGGCGAGCAGCGCCTCCATCATTTCCTCGGCGACGTCGCATGCCTTCGACTGGGAAGTCGACGTTGTGTCGAGGTTGCCGATTGTATTGTAACTACGCGTCGAGTACATGCTGCTGGTGCTGCTGGTCGTCGAAATGGAGTTGCCCCGACGGTGCATTCGAAATCCAGACGGCAACCGCTTTGCCTGCTGCGTCGACAACTCGATCGCAGTGTTTTGCATCACCATGGAGGTCGTGGACGCGATGTCTTCCAGCTCCTTGAGCGTGTCTGTGCACGGGAGCTGGCCCGTTGGGCACTCGACTTCCATCGTACCAATGCAAGCTGACGCTAGGAGGAGCGGGATTCGGACGAAGGGCAAGCCATCGTGATACCGTTCTCGGACGACCGACGGCGTCGACTGGAGCGTAACGAGACCAGCATCGACACGGGTGAAGTTGGGAGGGACATCTTCGAAGTTGTACGAGGTCACAACAACGACGCCGCGGCTTCCGATGAGTTGGATGAGTCCCATCGTGGCGTCCATGGCTGACATGGCCTGTTCAAGGAGGAGGAAGTATGTTGCGTCGTGCTGAAAGCGTGGGGCGAGCGCCGTCAAGTCGAGGTGGGATGGAGGAGAAGTTCTCGGACATGTGAGCATAGCTGGCGACACCGCCGATGCTGCGGCATCGTCGTGGGTCATTTTGTCAAACATGACCGAGCGGGGGGTGGCGCCTTGGTGGCAGATCGTCGTGGCAGCCGTGACGCATGCAAGGCACATGCGCTTGGCTGTTTTCGCCTTGGCGCCGCGCTGTACGGTTGACGTTATCGTCGAGCACTTGGAGCACACTTGCTGGAAGCAGAACCTGCACGCGTGGCTCCACCGGAACGCATGGAACCGCTTGGCGCAGCCACAGCAAGTGCCCATCCGAATTGCGAATATGCCACGGCGCTGAGGTCGTGTGCAGTATCGGACCACGTTAAAACAAATCACGTTTAAATATTTGTCGTTAAATTCTCGACACCACGTGCGGACATAAACCCGACATGCATCGGAGGTATCACTGGATACCTACAACGTAGCAATATGCTTCTCGCAACACATGTGTAGTACACGATGGCAACCACATACGCACGATGCGCTCGGTAAACTGGTGTATGCATGCTTTCCCTTGTTCTTGCTGCTGTCACGGCTTCCCTTGCAGGACCTGGCGTCGATACCGTGCAATCCTGTGTGGTTGTGCTGCATTTAACCGGAGGTCCATGGTTAGATAAAACCATGTGCTTTTTAGACGAGCATAAAAAACCCATGCGTCGTCAGGTGTTACAGCTGGGACACGACCGACCCAACGATGGAGTCCCCACCCAGAGCATCCTTCGGCGTCTGGGGAGCGGCATGTACAGGCCAGTTCGCAGGCAGCAACGGGAGATGCAACAGGAATCCGTCCAGCGCAGGGGGCGCCGGATTGCCGAAAACATGGATGCGTATCACGTTCTCGTGAGGGAGTTTGGCAAGCCGACGCTGGTGTCGTCGGCGAACCGACGCTTTCCCATGGATAGATTGCTCTGGCACAAGCGTGCGTTGTGCTTGCCACGGGCAGCGCGACCCCAACCTTTCACGACAACGTTACCGAGCTTGGAACACGACAACTAGGTCGCACGCACACTCACACAATTGACAATAGTTTCACGTTACGTCGTCCAGCCACGATGCAGACATGTACGTGCCGCAGCGAATCCTGCGTCGTGCAACGATAGCGATCGATATATTTGGCTTGCCAACGCTGCGCAGGGATTAGAGCGCGCGTCTACCTGAGTGCGCCAGCAATGTTGTGGACGAGGTCCACCACGATCGGAAACAGCGCCGTGACACTGTCGCTAATGAGGCTTAAAAAGTGCGCTTCCGCCTGTTCGTCCGTCATGTCGAGTCGAAAGCGTTCTTGGACCTTGGCGAGAGTCGTGAGGGGATCGTTGGCGAGTTCGGGGATGCCAGCATCAATCATCAAGTGGAGCAGACTCATGATCATGGTCGCGCTCTTGCGCAGCCTACAACAACACCATGCTCGATATATCGTCGCACCGACAACACAACCGTACCAATTGTACGTTTGGCAGCAATAGGTCTTGAAGCGCTGGTAGTTTTCACTCTTGCGCCCGCCCATGCCTTCGACCATTTCCTTGGTCAACTTGAATGGCGGTGGAAATGGCTTCGGATCCGACCCAAACACAAACCCAAAATCGATATGGAACAAGTGGCCTTGTGTCTTCATCATCAGGTTGTCCAAGTGCCGGTCGCCGATCCCCAAGATGTACGTGATGACGCAGTACCCCGCGAGCGACTTGACGTACGTCGTGATGGCATCGACCGAAATGCCTTCCCACCCGTTCGGGTCGGGGTTGTGCGTCCGGAGAAAATCCTGCACCGTCTTGTACTTGGAGATCACGTCCTTGAACGCCATCGAGTCGACAACAAACTCCATGAGCCCTGCCGTCGTCGATGTCGCCAATACACGGTATGGCGTCAGCTTCATGTCGAGGTTGACCTTCTTCAGCAGTCGATCCATGAGTATGATGAGCTGCATGATCAACTGGTCCTGCCGCAAGTCGTCGCCGTTCTTGATCATGACTTTGCATACAGGCCCTTCCCGCAGATGGGCGTGCTTGCGCGCCGCCCCTCCGATGATCGAATGCTGGTTGTGCAGCGCCGGGTTGGTGGCGGCCAGCGACTCGCGCAGCGACGACGCTTCCGATTCCTACACCATGGACTCTTGACACGAACGTTGGGTGCAGCACCGGTACCTCGTGATGGTCGTGGGGATCGGGCAAGACGGTTGTGAAATCCACGACGCATGGATACATGGCACTCTTGAACATCTTGGCGGACGACGACACAAGGCCGCTCAAGTGGATCGACGGGTCGGACGGGAGGCGAATGTGGACGCCTTTCGGCCACGGCATTTGCTTGAAATACGAGCGCAGCTTTTCTTCCTTTTGGTCCCGGCGGCCGCGCTCTTCCCGCGCGCGCAGATGCGACGCCATGATGCGAGACATGTACTCGTTCTGGGTCGCGAGCATGTTGTAGATGGCCAACCGGTCCTCCGACAGCTTCATTTCTTCCAGCATGACGTTGAGAACATGTTGGAACATTTCGCCGTCGCGGCGGTCCGACAGCTCGACTTGGAGGTACCAGTAAAAGTAGTTGGCCATTTTGAAATTCGTGCACGCGCGGGACACGAGAAATCGCGCGAGCGGCCCGAGTTGGCTCTCGTACTTGTTGAACTTTTCGTACCGCATCGCTTGCACGAGCTGGAGCAAAAAGTCGAGGAGATCGTCGTTGCGGGCTTTGGCGAGCGCGGCGACGGCAAACTTGCGCACGACGTCGCTCTTGAACTCTTTCCGCGGGCCAAGGAGCTTGAGCGCGTCGGCAATGTCAATGTCGCACCTGGTTCCCGCCAACTCGATGAGCACTACCACCACTGTCCCATGCAACAACAACGCGATAGACTTACCATGCATGCAGCAGTTCGGTCGTGAGGGTGACTTCCGTCTCGTCGAGCCAGTCGACGCTGAGCAAAAACTTGACGATCGCTCGGCGGTTCTCGACCAACGTGTACCGAAACTTCCACAGCAGGTCCTTCTCGTCGTTCTTGAGCTGGTCGCTGGACGAGCTCAGCAACGCCTCGATCGAAAACTGTTCCTCGCGACTCGGCTTCAAGTTTGGGTCAATCGAGCCGCGCAAAATATCGCGTGCGAGTTTGCGGTACTTGCGCTCGGCCGGGTTTTCTTCGTTCAGGTCGGGGTCCCATACAGGAATCAAGGTCGCGTCCATGTCAACTAGAATTTCGCGTGAAGGCTACCAAGTGCGGCGTTGAGCTTACCCAGGTTGCGCAGCATGGGCATCTTGGCCGACGACGGCGTCGGCAATTCTGACGGCATGGGATTGCTCGCAATGGCGTTGGAAGAAGCCGCCTTGGACGATGCGTCGCCATAAGGAAACGCGGCAAAGGACACGTTCCGAAGGGCGTACGGTTCTTCTTCGTAGACGACGGTGTGGCCAAAGTAGGGCAGTTCTATCCACAGGCACGGCTCCTCGCGCAGCTGACAAAAGGACGGAAAGTCATCCTTGGGACCGGGAAAGTCGCTGCTCCGACGGATGCGCGAGATTCGCCGGTTCGTCACGCGGTCCATCCAGTCGCTGCGCTGCATGTCGCGCCGTTCGTACCGCTCCCGCGCCTTGTCGAGGCGAAAACACTCCATCTGACGTGTGAGAACTTCGTTGTTCGGATCGCTGTACTCGGACGGTGTTGTCGTGTCGAGCTGCGGATCGGCCTCGACGCCAGGCCACACGCGGAGACACTGCGTGCCATCCTTCAAGCACCCGTTGGGTGCAAAGAGAGAGAATGTCGTGCCGCCGATCGGGACTTGATTCACACCCCACAGCGTCAGAGCAATGACGGTGTTCCGAGGCAGGTCCTTAAACTTCATCGGAAGCGTGAGCCATTCGCTCCATACGATGGACGATTCTTTGCATTGGCTAGGATATTTCGTGTTGATTGTCATGGGGTGCATGGGGATTCCATCGGCAAAGATCTGGGCCGTCACGAACACTTCGCTCATAGGGGAGTTGCGCAAATCCGACGGCGAGCCTAGCATTTGGTGTAGATTTTGCGAGAGTGGAGACCGCGCGGACGTCCCAGCATCAACTAGCTTTGCAGGCGGCAAGTCAATCGAGGACAGGAAGAACATGACCTCACAGTCAATGGCGTTGCTCAAAAAGTACTTGTACTCGTGGAACGCATTAGCGGCATTGTCTGGGGCATACATGGCGCCGTTCATCCCATTCACGCCGGGCACGGATGATTTCGGAGCCGCCATTTCTCCAGCCTCGTGTTCCGCGGGGCAGAAACGTTTCGGATAAATATCCGGATAACAGCGTCATTAGCGACAGTTGGAACTCAGCGTGTCCATGCCGGCGCATGCGGCCCGCTCCCTACGCCTCTGGCTTCACCACAGCTCTGCGTTCGACCTGCAGAACTGAGCTCTCTTCATAGGGGCTGACTCGCCGTCGGTTGGCCCATGAGCACCTTTTCTTCGACCCGTGGGAGGAACTGTGGTATCCGGATAACGGGTCAAGTTGAAGCACACAGAAAATAATGCAGGGTGGCGTCGAAGAGGTGCGCGGCGTCAAATGGAGCAAGAATCTCCAGGAGTTTGTTGCGTCGGCGAAAGGGGGTCCACCGCTGGATGGAGAGAGCTGCCTAATAGAGGAAGCTGTGCGCCCTCTTGTCCATCCCATACACGTGACGAACTATGTGGGAACCGTACGTGTCGCCACTATGACTATTCGACAAGTGCAACAAGTACGTGTCGCCTGGCATGCTTGGAAGAGCATTACCTCTTGCCCGACTGTAGTTCTTCAGTCGTGATGTCTTCCGAGAGGATTGCATTCCGTTGAACGCGAGCGAACGGAGTGACTTCTACAAGCTCCTTTGCAAAGGCATCGAGTGGAACGCAACGGATACCGTCGCTTTAGCGGCGAATCAACCCGCTCTCGAACTGTTTCTCCAGTGCTATCATACATTTCTTCGTGCACTTGCTCGCACCCACGCTGGTCTTGCAGCGGAAGGTACTGCCCATCCCGACTCCCCATCGATCTCACGAATTGACAGAGTACATACGCCTGGGAAACATGTTTCTCATCGTGGGAAAGTTTCCTAGTGCCAGAGCGTGTGCCCAATGCCATTTGAGGTTGTCGCCACCGTCCAGCCACGAGGAAGTGCCAGCAAAGCGCATCATCCTTCTAGCGCGACAATGCGAACAGCTCCTCCAAGCCAGCGTGAAACGCATCGAAGCGACTTCAAACACCCCACCAACAGTCGTGGCACGTTTGGTGGCGGAACTAGACCACGTGCGGTCCATCGCCCCGTTATCTCGCGAAGCACTGCATGTCCAAACTGGAATCCTTGTCGCTTCGGCGTCCTACTCGGTCCTCATTGAAAAGCTGTCGGCGCTGCCACCTCCACTTCTCGTCGATGCACACGTGTGCATGGCGTTGGCTCGGGCGTACGATTACACAGGGTTTACCGTTCAAGCCATGGACGTGCTTCGGAAAATGGCCAAGCAGTCGCCTGTCGTCGCGAAGGAGTTGCAGCGTCTGCAGAATATGGTCGACAAGCGGGTACGAGCTCCCATCGCTTTCGGCACCTCGTGACCGATGCGCAGAAACTAGCCACCAAGATGGCCGAAGGTGGCCACTTTGTCCAAGCGATTGACGCGCTCACACTGTGCTTGACACTGGACGTCAATCACCACCAGTACAACGCCAACGTGCTGTACGATCGCGCTGGCGCGTTGTTGGCCGCAGGAAAGGAGAAGGAATCGATTCGTGACCTCGAGCAATGCCTTGAACTCAATCGATCGCACGCCCTGGCGCCCGCGAGGCTCCGTGCAGCGCAAGTTCAAGCGGAGACCTCGCGTATGGTAACGAAATCGTCGTGCCCGTCCTCGTCAAAAGGAGCACGGGGTGAAACTCCACTGTGTAGCACAACCAAATCTACAAGGAACAACGAGCCCATGACAAGCATGTCAAGTATGCTGACCTACTGTTTCAACGCGGTTGTCGCTAACAGATCGTGCGCAGGAAAAGCTCTCTCCCTAGCGTGTTTTTCAAGATGGGGTCCTGTCCAAACCTGGCGCCGCGCGACCAAGTCAAAGCCATGCATGACCGCGCCAAGGGCACGGATGAACGGACGACATTTCATCAAATTCCACCCAAGTTTGATGTGCCCGATGTGGCACCACTTGTGGATTTGTACACAATCCTCGGGGTACACGCCACCGCGACTGGGGACGAGATTCGCAAGGCTTACCACCGCCTGGCCCTTCAATTGCATCCGGGTGCTGTTTGTTGACGAGAGTTGATGGATCCTAACGGGTCGTGTCCTGCAGACAAATGCCAAGATGCGGATGCGGCCGACCAATTCAAAGGCATCGCGATGGCGTACTCGATTCTGAGCGACGCGACGAGCCGAGCGCAGTTCGACACGGTGTACAATTCTTCGTTATATTCCACTTGAATGCTAGCTGTCGTCATCATCGCTGGACGAATCATGGTCAAGCCATTGCTGTAAGTTGCCGCACATGATCTTGGCGATGCGCTCGGTCTCCGAGTCGAACAAGGCGCGAGCCGTCGGCTTGGGTTGATCGCCGTCCATTCGATTCGTGAAGCGGAAGGCATGTGGAAGACGGATACAAGGCTCATTGTCATCGCCTAAGCCTGTCCATCGTCGAGAAGAGAACAGGTCGGTGCGAAGGACTCCAGGCGGGGCATTCGAGGTAGACGCATACATGGCGGCAGACGGTGGGGACATATACGCGGTCACCGATCGGTCCAAGTTGCGGATGAATTGTGGTTGGCCGCCTTGATGATCTGAATTGTCCAGCGCTTCAGACACAACCTTGACATGGTTGGTATCACCATGTTCATGAAGATCAGGTAGCTTCGTATTTGGGTTGAAGTGGTGATTGGATCGAACGCCATCGGAGGCGAGTGGCACGGGGCAAAACTTTTGTTCTTCGGTCGGCTCGCACACTTGCCTTGGCGTGATCTGTTGAATTGGTCGTGGCTCGTCATGAATGGGAGGTACTGCGATCTCTGGCACTTCCGATTGCGTGGACGCATCGATTTGAATTGCGCGATGGATGGTATCCCTGGGTACATCACTCGTCGGCACACAAACGCTCGCACTCGTGTCGCGCAAGTCCGACAAGGATGCATGCGATGCAGTCAAGCGATCGCTGCAGGACTCTGCGACCAGTAGAGGGATCTGCGCGATTTTGACCGCCATTGCCTCGTTCTGGTGCACCAACGAGGATATCTGCGACTGCAGTCCATGCATGACTTCTAGCACTTGATACAGGACGGGATGGTTGACGGGAGTCATCGATCCATTGGCTGGAAGGTCGGGGATATCATGGCTAAACGATACCGGAAGTGCATCCAATTCGTGGATGTCCATTCTCGAACGGCCACAAGCGTGTGCCCTGTCCACACAATTTGCGCTGGCGCTGTCGTTGACGGAAGGCTGAATATGCACGTTTAGATCGTTCAAGTTGAAAGGTTCGTCTCCATCGTCGGTCCAGTGTGAGGAAACTTGGCCTTGGGGCGCGGTCGTAGGAGCACTGGTTTGTGAATCCGAGCACACTTCTTCTGGATCCCCACATGTAGACTTGAGCTCGGCCGAACAAGTCGCTCGCTCTTGTCGAGGAGATGGCAATGCTGTGGGAACGGAATAAATAGTGTCGCGAGTGTGGAAAGCATCCGAGTCACGTGCATCTGAGTTGCCGTCGGGTGTTGAGTTGGGTTCCATGGTGAATGCATCCTTATGGTCTTCGTGTTTTAGAGTGGTTGGACTCTGAGGAGGAGTGGCACTCGGCAAGTCTTCGCCAGAGTCCGAACGGTGCGACCCGTAAATCTCGAGGGCATTCACATCAAAGTCGCCGTTGTCCCACGTGCTCTGTCCATCATCCGTCTCTTCATCCTTGCTCATGGGGAGGGTATCGACATGGACAGGCGTACACGACTCGTATTCTTGGGCGACATCAAGTGCCAGGCAAGTGGCCGCATGGACTTCGACAGTGGGTGAAGGCAGTGCAGACATGGATGTCACGATGGTAGCGTCGTTCGAGTCGGCATCCTTGGCACGGCTTGTCGCTGATTCATGCTGTGCTAGAATTGACGTAAAGTCCGAGTTCTCTTCCAAATGTCGCTCGGTCAGGGATGCATCCAAGTCTGTGAGGTTCTTGACGAGCAGCTTCAGAATCGATATTTTTTCCACTTCGTCATCGTGGTTGTCAACTTGTTCGGCTGGAGTACTTGGGGTTTGCCGCTGAGGACCTGGCACTCCACTGTTTTGAATGCGTACTTTCAACTGACCCTAGATGAACACAGCGACACTTTGGATGGTGGTCAGGACAGTTCCAGGATGTACCTGGGCATTGCCGGTAGTGTCCATGAGGTGATACCATCCACATATTTCCTTCGTCCACTTGAGCAGGGCAAGATCAATCGAAGCTTGACCAACCAACGTTGTCGTCGCCGAACTCGGTCGGTCCCACACTTGAATCACAAGGTCGGATGTCATCTCGGGCATCATCGCATCCAGCTGGAATTGCGCCATCCAAATCGGGTTGCGTGTTGCTTCCGCCACGGACGTTTCCTATGCATCCCATCGCAACGTGAAACACACGGAGGCTACGACGTGGTTCGCCATACGAAGCGGGTTGGTCCCCATTGAAACGACGCATTGACGTTGGGGAGTCTGGACGAGAGCGTCGCAGTATGTAAATTTCGGGCTTCTTCGATCGATACACTCTATTCCAGTATCATGTGAATTGTTGGTATGATCGAACACACCTTGAAACCTTACCAATGTATAGTGAGAAGGCGAGTCGATCATGGCGGATTCAGAACTCGTCTCATCCAAGAGGAAATCAATATCGTGTATGGACTGGCCCGCGGGAATTTCGACGGGGAGCGTCGATGTAACATGGAAATCTTTCAGTGTGGAGGGATGGTCCACACTCACTCGTGGCGCTGGCCGAGTTGGATTCGTCGAGTCGACATTGTGGTGAAGAAACTGCACGGTCACGCCAAGGCGGCCATTATTGTGGACGCCATCTAAACATAACCAGGATGTCCCTTTCAGTGGTCTGGCGGAGTGACTTCATACCTCGTTCTTGAAAGGGGAAAATGCCTCGAATCCCTTCCGTCCGGTACAACAGTGACGCCAGTGGAACCGAGACCGTGCCGATGAGTATATCCATGTCTACGACGTGTCTGTACACTTGAATGGTGACGCCACGATCTTGCATGCTCTCCAAGAGTGCCGGGCTGATCACCACATACTCGTCGAACTGGGCGAGGAATGCGAGCCGCTCCGACGTCAAGGCCACGGTGGGGGACGCTTGGTACGACACGTACTGACGCAGCGTTGTATCAAACTCGACTGTTGTCGTATTTGGATGCAACTCGACGCCTACTTCCATGATGAACTTGAAGAACACTTGCCACTCGTTGACTTGCGTGTCTAGCATGTGCATCGATGTGACTTGAGTGCGAATGATAGATGTCGCGGGCAGGAGCTTGGTTGAAGTCACCGTCGTTATGGCCAGAGTCTTGTCGTTGGTGTGCTGAATGCGCAGTGGAAGCGACTGGATCGGGTCCAATGTAGGATGCGTCCACGTGACAGGGATCCAAACCACTGCGACCGAACTCGCCAAATTGGTCACGTGCAACGTTGCGTGGCCGAGTTGACCATGTTGCAGCGAGCTCATCTCGAATAAAACCACAGGATGAAGATGGTGGCTGTCATCATACGTGTGATAGTTTCTCGTGCTCAGGAGTGAGCTGGAGTGGTCCCACCACAGCGTGAACTCTGTGTTGTAAAAGACATACCGCAACTCGATTCCACCGGGCTGGGGACACTGCTGGGCAAGTTCCATCATCAAACGCCACGAGGTGCCGCTCGATGGATCAACTCGAGTCGGCTGCAACGACCCCTTCAGGATCGAGTCTTGCATGGAAATGCTTCCCGCGTCGCCGGCATCCATTGAATGCATGGACACCGGATCATTCAACAGCTTGATTGTGTCTTCGTCAATGTCAAATGTCAATGTGGGCATGGCTTCCTCGTCGGGAGAAGCGGGTTCGTGCGTCACGTCGCTCCAATCCAGCATCGCTGAATCATTTTTGTGACTTCGTTGCTGCTTCCAATGTCGATACACACGTTGAATTCTTCTTGTGGCTGCTGCAACTCGAGCTTGATCCTTCTCGACGATGGTTCCGTCCGCAACAGTTGTGACCATGGCGTCATCGAGGCCTTTTTCGTCGGATGATGGTTCGGTTGTTGGACGGGGCACCGGGGATAACAGCGGCTTGTAAACATTGACCAATTGTGCCTGGTACCTACGAAATGCACAGCGGCCCTTCCACCATGCTTGAATCTTCCGAGCACCAACGTGCCTAGCTCGGAACGAGGCGATCTGAACCATGGCATTTGAATAGATAAGCAACAATGCGACATAGCGAGCACCACTTTCGCACCTGATGTGTTGTTCCCAAGGCTGTTGTGCATGTAATTGACCCTACTACTGTTCCCGTAAAGGGATTCTTGACGGGGAGCAAAGTGTTGGGAACGCCAACGTAAGGGTCCCGGTGACTAATTTGACTGTCGACGGCGGTCTTGTTTCTGCACTGAATAACTTCGTCATGGCTTGACGGACGGAATTGAGTACCTGAAAGCATGCGCGAATGGCTTGAGGGGAATTTTTGCCAACCCTAGCAGGTGCGCAGGGGAGTCGCAGGGAGTTTGAACCCGCACTTCAACAACCTATAATCCGATAGCTGGGTAATCGTGCCAAATAGTCGACAAACGACGCACGATTTGGTGGGTATCGAACACGTGAACGAGCGCTGGCGTCAGTACGCATGGAAAAACGGCTTGATGCTCGAGTGCCACCACCGCAGACACGCGGGGGTCCATCGTAATGCGGACTCTCTTCGGCATGCTTATATATTCTTTGGTAGTCGGCTGCAGTGCTTTATGGGTCACATAAACATTGACTGAGCACAGTCCCTGGACTGAGGAGCCTTGGACGCGTAGCAAATCCACGCGCAAGAGCATTTCCATCGGGGTATCCACCATTCCTTGGTCCAGAAGTGGGCTTGGTGAGCTCGGATGAGGGCGATTTGCATCGCATATTGGAAGACCGCATGTGTACATTGGTGTGGCGCGGTTTGTGCGGAGCGATTCAGACGTAGTCAGGCTCAGGTCAACAGGTCCAAAACTCTTTGCAGACGCCAAGATGGCTGGAATGTCCGAAATGTTGTTGTCGTTCTCATGCTGTTCCATAGCGCGTTGCATGGATCGTCGAAGGGCTTCTCCTTTTTGCAGCAACGTCGATAACGCCGTGTTTGGCGGCTTTACAATTGACGTGGGTGGCGCCGTCGGTGTAGTTCCAGTCGGTTGCGCCAGATAAAACTGTTTGTTTTCAGGAAAATCTTTGTTCTTCCAAACGCGAACGTCACTTTCAAGCCTGTGCATTGGCCTTGATATCTGTTTTGGTAATGGCACAGGAAGTGGTGGCTGCAGGCCCTGGAGAATGTTCACCGCGTCACTCCACACTGCAGTTGCGTACAAGGTCAAACTCCCGCCAACATCGCCAGGTATGCCATCACACTTGACAACATTGATGTCACGGCGAAGACCGTCGACTTCTTCCAACTCGTCTAGTCGTATTGGGATCGCGGCCTGGCCATACACGCGATGGGACAATTTGTCGACAACGTCAAAGCGAAGCTGGGCCATGTCGTCGAGGTAACGTCGAAACACGTCGCGTGGCACATGGATTGGAAAGCAAAGCTGTTGGTTTTCACGCAGCAGGTCACCTTTCCCAACTGTTGCCATGGACCCCCACCATCGCACTCGTACAAGCCATTCCCGAGAATCATGATTTCCAGCCGCGGTCGTCATCTGGATGTGAACTTGAACACTCAAACGGACATAGCCTGTCACAGAACCATCTATCAGAGGTGGAAGTGATCCCAACGAGATGATGGACGGTATCTTCGGGATCGAGGACATGTCGCCGTCGACATCCGCGCCGATCCCGGCCATCACGTTTTTCGCGCTCCCAAACTTGTTTGGAATTTCAATTATCCGTACAATCGGGAAAGTCATCCGGATACGTTGTTCCTGATTTCATGTATGGTTTTAAACGCGTTTCGAACACGTTCACAAGGCGATGGGGGCTTCGGCGATGGATGCCAAGTACGTGCCGCAGTACCTGCGGCATTACATGTACCATGCGCAAGATGACTTTTGGATATCAAGCTGCTTTGACCCAATCTTCATTGCGCACATCATGTACAACGGGTTCCTTCCCATCGCGACAGAGTCGCAAGGGAACGTGTACCTTTTACCCAAGTTACATGAGCAGCGATGTGTGATTGACCCGCGCGACTTGCACATTCCCAAGCAGATTCGGAAAAAATCGAGTGCGTATCGCTTGACCGTGAACCAAGCCTTCGACCAAGTTGTCCAGGGGTGCCACGAGCAGCATGGGATCGCTTGGTTGTACCCTCCCGTCGTGACAGCGTTCAGGCAACTCGTCGACGGCGTCAAAGTCAATGGGACCGAGGTCAAGTTGTACAGCATTGAGCTGTGGAAGAACGCAACGTTGGTGGCAGGCGAGCTCGCGTATTGCAATGGCGCGATGTTTACAAGTCTCACGGGGTTTTACGCGCCCGGGACAACCGGTGCTGGCACTATGCAGCTGTACGCATTGGGTGCTTTGCTTCATGCTTCGGGCTTTCAACTGTGGGACTTGGGCATGTCCATCGACTACAAGCTGAAGCTAGGTGCAAAGGACATCCCGCGCGACGAATTTGTCAAGAGCGTGCACGCCCTCCGTAACACGCTTGTGACGATAATTGACGAAGAGGATACAGCCAGGGCCATTCTCGATCGCCATATCAGATTAATGTAATGTGCCTTCACCATGGACCCATCCTCCCTTGACGTGATCGGGTTGTGTACCCCATGACGCTCAAGTCCACGATGTGGTCCTTTTGGAAGGTGGCGAACGACAGCGTGTGGAGTTTCAACCGAGCGGCCCTGACGGTTCATCGAGCTGCTTTGATTCCAAGAGTACATTCGAGGCACTTGTTTCCAAGTCGAACAGACCGACGTGTTGAGCTGCGTTGGCATGTTCTTCTGGCCATGATCGGAGTTCTCTGCCGCATTCACATCACCACGACCATTGCACAAGATCATTCTTGGCTTCATCGGCGGCATACATGGCCGACGCGGATCATGACATTGTCGAGGATGAGAGCCACGACTTTCCATGTTGTTAGCCGGGAATCCCATGCACAGCTTTTGTCTTTAACAAATCGTCGGACGTGGGCACCTGCATGACGACGACACAGGGTATTTTCTTCTTTCGAGCGACCAAACCAAGTCCATCGACAATTGTGCAGGATGCTACGCCTCGTGGAATCCCCTTTGTCGTGCGTTCGACGCCAATTCTCGTCGACCGAGAAAACACCCCAACGAATGCTCAGTGCATCACTTCGTAAGCTTGCCAATGGCAACGACCCCCGCAACATGGACTGTGCATCTCGACTTGGCCCTTCCTTGTCCCAAAATGGCCTTTCAACGAGTCCATAAGCATGACGTACATATGTAGTCGTGGCTATCGGACTGTGCAGAATCATGGAGCCAGCAGCACTAAATCTGGCAGTACTAGAATCCTCCGCTAAATCGACAGAGGGGATCGTTAGCTGGGACGTCGAACGGAAGGACCGTCGCTGAGCTTACGTGTTCGATACAGGTGGCATCGCCGTCGTCTGCGCCGCGATTTTTGGTGGCCATTCAACTTGACTTGTCAAGCGTTGGGTTTCAATGTCGACGCAAGGAGCTCTGGACGTACGACATTCGAGCAACCCCCGCGACCGCCTCCACCTGTGACAGGGAATACGCTGGACGTTCCCGCACGGCCTTTCCACGAGGAATTCCCGTACTTGAAACGGTGTGGATTTCTGGCCCGCTTGTTATAGGCCCTGCATAGCACGACCCCTCCCAACGATGAAGGCGTCCTGCCACGACGAGCTCGCCCTTGCCCAATGCACAGGGCGACGACGCGGCACAAATCATGTGGCCTCGTGGATCTGGCGCTACCGTGGATTGCAATGGCCATCGTCACGCTGTATTTGAAGGAATTCCTCGGAGAGATCCGGATATTATCCCACCTATGCCAATCAGAAGATGCAGAAGTATCCGGATTATCATCGTGACAAACAACCTTTCCATCACCACTTCGACGGCGCGCAAGAGACTTCCATCGACCGCCATCGAGACGACCGAAAGCCAGAGAATGCAGCATGACGAACAACCACCTGTCCGAAAGATGCCTAGTGTCATATACGATCGAAGCGCCATGTCGTCGGAGAGAAGGGAGATCACCCATGCTACGCTTGGTCGGTTGGTGGCAAAGTTGACCGACGCACAATACCACGACGCGGACTTCCGCAACTGCTTCTTGCTCACGTATCGTAGCCACAGTTCAGTGAACGACTTCATCGTGAAGCTGACCAAGCGATACAATGCAGCTTCGTGCCTTGCACACCCTAGGTACAACGCGTGCGACCCGTCGAATGCAGACGACAACAAGTTCTCGGTCGCGGCCGATGCGACTGTGCAGGCCGCAGCAAATGTGTCCATGATGCGAGCCATGAATATGCTCAAGTTTTGGATCCGAGAAAGCGGGTACATTGAATCGGACCTGGACAACGACCGCCGATCTCAGGTTTCTCAACCTCCCGCCAGTGAACGATCACCGTTGGCGGCTCATCCAAACTGTGCTCGCGATAGAAAAAACTCATGATCTTTCTCGCGAAAGTTCGAGACGAATCTCCACACCCGTCCATTTCCAAGCACGCAGGGACGATGATGGTAAGCCAAAATACGGGCTCCGACTTTCTTGGCTCATGCGCCCTTTTCAGCACGTTGTCGGCAAGATTCTCGTTCGCAACACCCCCATATCGTCAAGACTGGCCCTTGCTACGCCATCTGTAATGCCGTCGCCGCTGGACCTTGGAAGCGAGTCTTCAGACGAGTCGCCTAAAGCTGCACGGCGGAAGCCCGTCACGATTGACGAAGATTGCACGTTGGCATCCACAACTGCCGCCAAACTTAAGATCGTTCGAAGCACTTCCACAGACACAAAGGCGGCGTTTAAGGCGCAAGTGACTATCCGAGCGTACCCATCGGCTGACCACAACCACCGCCATCGCAGCTACGAGCGAGATATGACGCGACCGGCGTTTTCCGCGCTACCTCCTTCGATTTCAAGGGGCAAGACCATGCCTCAAGTGTCGACAACCCACCAATCTTCAGCAACCGCCCCGGTCGAAGGGGGGTGTATTCACACTCCGTTGACCCGTTCGGTGTCTGACAACACTCGCGATCGAAGTGAGCACTTTCTCTTTGGCCCTAAACCGTGACCATAGCCATAGGAGTGTTTTCCGTGCCTCGTTCAGAACCTTTCAACGGCATCAGCGCCCAAGATGTTGCCGACCAACTCACGCTCCTTGAAGAGCACATGTTTCACAAAGTCCAGCACCGCGAACTAACCAACAAAAATTGGACAACCGAATTCAAGCACGACGTGGCGCCGAACGTGATGGCGCTCATCGAATTGTTTGACGCGGTGGGCTATACATCCCTGTTGCGAGCATGTCCATCACGCGAACTGTGTTTGTAGCGCGCGGAATGGGTGTCAAGCGAGATTTTGCATCCCAAGCTGCAGGCGGCGCAGCGGGCAAGCATGGTCGCGTTTTTCATCGACGTTGCGGAGGCGTGCTACCGCATGAATAACTTCAACACCCACGCTGAGATCGTCGTGGGGCTGACGGCACCTTGCATCAAGCAGCTCGAAACAACGTGGAATCTCGTGGCTCCCGGGCACTTGGAAAAGTTCGAGCATCTGAAGCACGTGTGTTCGAGTGACGATAATTTTCGCTTCTACCGCCTGGTGGGTGGATTATCCTGCTGATCGTGCTGCGTTTGACGTTGCGTGGCAGGCGTATGCGGCAGCGGAGGGGCAGCCCCGATTGCCGTCCATTTTTATTGTGGTCAAAGACCTGTTTGGGTTCGAGGAATCGATGCGAACGATCGAGAACGGACTGATCCACTTTCAAAAGTTCCGAAAGGTGCGTCCCGACCGACCCACAACAAGTCGACGACGACGATGCCACGTGTGCGACCTTGTAGGTCTATCACGCCATCACAGACGCACTCAGTTGCCAACACACCAAGTACACGGCACCGAGTCGAAGGCGTCGCGTCCTCCACCCAGACAAGAACCAGCAAATGGTGCTCAAGTTTCGCTTGGAAACGTACGTGTGTCGATCACGTGACCACAGTCAGTCGTTCTCGAGCTCAACGTTGTGTCGTAGAATCCGCAAGACCGGCACGGAACTGTTTTGGCTCGCCAAAAAGGCCAACAAGCAAGAAAGCGTGCTGTTTGTCAACAGCTTGGCAGACGCTGGATTCATGTAGCCGTCGTTCGTGTTAGGTGTAGTTAATGAGCGGAGGAAAATTCCCAAGATGCAATAATATTGTTGTGACCATGCTGCTTGAAATATTTTCTTTATCTGACGATAATTCCAATTTTTGAGAAATCCGTCCCCATATAAAATCGGCCCACATATCCGGAATGGTTATGCGGAAGTTTGATCTTTGGTGGCGGCAGTGGTGGCATTGAGGCGAATGGAGGGTACATGACATGGAGGAACTTGCACGACGAGTGGCGGCGACAGTGTGGGAAATGACGTTGTTTGATACTGTTGAGCCCACCGACGCTACTCCTTGAACAGATTCCAGCGTCGGATGGTCCGTTGAAATCTACAGAGAATGTATCTGATCCCCCTGTCGTCGTGATAATACCTGCGGCCGTCAAGTGGAATATGATGGACATGCCGAACGAGTACTCCATTATTCGAGTTTTCGGAACGGTACAAACTTAGTTTTGGACTTTTGGTTCGCCACGGGGCCATATGTGGACTGCCCAAACCGACAAAAGTCGAACGAACGCTCGGACGGCGGGACGTTCAAGTAGTTGAGTATGCCAGTGGCCATGTTAGGCACAATCGGCAGCAAGAGGAGCGCTACCACACACGTGCATGAGTAGTTTCCATATATTCTCCACCCCGACGAAATACAGTGCCTACCACTGACGCGTACGGCTTCGATGGACAAGAACAACGTGGTGTCCACAAGCTGGCTCTTCACGATGGCGTCCTCGGAGTCAAGAGGCATCTTCTTGAGCTCCTTGTTCAGTACCCACGGTTCGTGTTTGGAAAAGTTGCGGTTGACTTCGTACAACAGCGACATGACGGATTTTGTGACCAGGGCAAACTGGACGTGGTCATGTCAGACTGCCAATCTGGCAACGGCGATCAAGTCGTACGTCTGGGCGCTCGTAGTGGCGCTGCACTTGTTGCACAGTGTCGTTGATCAGGTGAATGAGTTCGAGGTCCGTTGGGGAGTAATAGCCGCGGCTGGGGATCGCCCCCTGCGGCAGAAACGCCAGGGTTGTCGCTCGAATCACTACACGCCACCCGTTTTATATCGAACACCTCCCTGTGCAATGACCCTACCGAGGTTGCCGAGCGTGTCGGCGAGTTCATTGTTTACGTGCTCCTTGAGCATGGTTTCGCTGAAGTCGCCGTCGTCCGTCAGCACGCCTTCGCGCAGCAAATAGTACCGCACGGCGTCCAAGCCAAACTGAGCAACTCGAGTAATATGGATCAATCGAGAGTGGAGACGAATGCACCTTGTTGATGATGTCGGTCGGGTTCACAACGTTGCCGAGGCTCTTGGACATCTTGACGCCGTTCACAGTCCAGTGTGCGTGGGCGACGATCTTGTTTGGCAATGGTAGGTTCGCCGCCATCAGAAATGCAGGCCAGTATATCGCATGGAACTTGAGAATGTCTTTGCCCACGATGTGGTACGCAGCAGGCCAGCACTACCGAGTCGCGTCACAACACGCGAATGTGGGGAGGTACTTTGACGGGCTACCGACTGAAAGTGCGCCATGTCAGTGGGGTACTTGCAACATGTCAGGTAGTTGGTCAATGCGTCCAGCCACACGTAAACGGAATGCGCCTCGTCATCTAGACGGGTGAGTTGACGGCCATGTGAGGAAGCGGTACCTGGGACTGAAATGGCCCACGCAATCTTTTCACGCAGGCGAGACACAGACACATCGCGCAGCCCGCGCTCGACGGTCGCACGAACCTACGACAGCGATCGAGATGACCGACCACTTTGAAACAGAAGACAGAGCGGACTTCATTGTAGCGCGACGGAGGCTGCACCACGTCGGGATGGTCGTCGAGCCATTCGAGCAACTTATCCTGGAACTTGCTCAATCGAAATTTGTAGTTTTGCTCCTTGACGAGCTCGACGGGGTGTCCGGATTCCTTAGACACGATTTGCCCATTCTCCCGCGTGTCGACTTGCATGTCCGTCAAGAACGTCTCGTCAGAGATGCAGTAGTACGCTTCGTGCTCGCCCAAGTAAATGTAATCGTTCTCCACTAGAGTTCGCCAAATCGCTGCCACCGCGACAGCGTGCGATGGCTCTGTCGTCCGCACAAATCGATCGTACCGAATGTCGCCGTGTGCACACATGGCTTGGAACGAAACAGCTACGTCGTCGCAGAATTGACTTGTCGGCTTGCCAGCATTGTCTGCAGCTTGCTGAACTTTCAAACCGTGCTCGTCCGTGCCTGTTGTGAACAACGTCGGCTCGTTCTTGAATTGAAACCATCGACTCAGCGCGTCGGCCATGACAGAAGAATGCAAATGACCCAGATGCGGTGACGCGTTTACGTAGAATATCGGGGTCGTGATCGTTGTCGTCGTAGCTGCGAAGCGAACGCTCTTGCGCCCTTGGAGGGATCGCAATGCCTTCGACCTCGCCAAATGGTGAAGCAACATGGAGATGCTTCAAACCAAGAATTGCTCGAATGCGATTTTTGACGTGGTATTATGGTAGGCATGACAAATTTTAAATGAATGCACATATTCCGCATTCATATCGAATGATAAAAATTTAAGAATTTACAAAAAAAATTGACCCCGCTGTGTCGGCATTTACCTGGAACATGAGCGACGATGACGCTTCGGCTGGTGCGAGCGACATTGAAAGTGCCGGTCTGACGGTATCTGACAAGGAACTGAGCGACGCGGAGAGTGTGGAAAAGACTCCTATAGGTGGTGATGATGACGAGTCGTCGGACGATGAGCCCCTGAGTGTGTTGAAGCAAGACGTGAAGAAGCGAGTGCGATCTCAAATCCGCGACGACGAAGAAGAGTTGGCGTTGGCGGAAAGCGATTCAGAAGATGAGTCACGGCGAGAAGACTTTGTACACGATTACTCCCGGGAAGGAGACCTCGAAATGGCACCGATACCTCGGGTAACCTTCCCTTTCCCCAGTTACATCCGCCAAGTCGCGAGTAAATTGGATCACCTTCGGCATCCTCTCGCAGCGGCACCGTTGCCGTTTCTCACGTCTCAAAACCTGCAACTTGTACTCTCGCGGCATGCTTCCGTTCCTTCAGCCAATATTACCACCCTGGCATTAGCCGATAGCACGCTCAAGCAAGTATCGTCGAAAGAGTTCCCGACGAAAGACACCGTGTCGACCAAACGGCTCAAACTGACTGCCACATCCCCCGCCTCTAGCACCCACAGCCGCGGCGACATCTCCAGCAGTGACGACGAAGCGAGCAAGGTCTCACTTGAGGCCACGACATGATGCAAAAATCAAATTCGAATCTTCCCTTTCCTTTCCCAACCAGTGCTGTGCCAAAGTTTGTCGTGCGACCTCAGTTACTACAACACGTCGTTCGACGTTTCGAACAAAAGCCATGCAAAGTAGATCGACGGTGGAGAAGACGACCTTGGCTTCGAACACACAAATCGCTTTCTGGCAAACAGCATCGCTATGCCAAGGCCAAACAATTATGATACGCATGCAATCAGTTGTCGAAAAGGTGCTCGAAGATGCCCTTGTACAGGTGGATGCCCTTGACGAACGTGTCCTTGTGCAGCATTTCGTTGTGCTCGTGCAGCAGGACCTCCGTGTTGTTCATGGGGGAGAACCCAAGCGCCGGCACGCCCAACTGGCGCAAGAATCGGCTGTCCGTGGCCGCCGGAAACACTTCGAGCTCCACTTCCATCCCTAATTTCTGCCATGCACATGCGTCAGATTCAGTACACTTGTCCAGTTCAGCAGACAAACCTCCGCGACGGACAGAAACTTGGCGCACAGCGGGTTCGTTTCTTCTTCGACGGATGTCACGTGGTGTTGATGCAGTGGGTTCTTGGTCACAAATTCCCAAGACACGCCTTCCGCCGAGCACCATTCGTCCAGCATCGCTTTGAACTCGACTAGGTCTTGATTCGGCGACACACGAATGTCGAAGCCAGCCATGGCTTCCGTCGGGATCACGTTGAGTGCGTACGTCTTGCCACCGTCGGTGGTCACACCGCTGCGCAGGACGGTCAAGTTGACTGTCGTTACATCGCCCAAGTTTCTCTTCTTCATTTCACCATGCTTACACCCGCAGGTCGTGCCGAGCAACTTTTCTTGCTCTTCGCGAAATTTCAAGGCCTGGGAGTGTTCGACACGACGAGTCAGCGCAGAAATGCTAGAGCTGCCAAGTATCGTCACCTTGTTGCAGATGTCGATGAGCTTGATCGTGGCAGTGTCCTGAATGAACCGACTCCCATGTCCTGTTAGTCCCTCAGCTCTGACGTACAACCACCAAGGCGTGCGCTCGCCGTAAAACACTACCAGTGCCTACGTCGGCCACAGTCAACAGAGTTCATCCCTACCGGTAAACTTGTTCGTTGGGTTCGCCAGTCCTTCATCCAGCGCCAATGCAATGGGAAGCATCGATTGGTACTGCTTCGACTTAAGGAATTCGCCCATGCCATCCGACCCACCGATTTCCTCGTCCGGCACGTAGCTCAAGTGGATGTTGCGAGCAGGAACAAACCCCGTCGCGTGCAGCAGTCGAAGAGCTTCCAAGTATTGGATGCAAACACTCTTCATGTCTTGGGCGCCTCGGCCTACGATCATTCCATTTTCCAAGAGCTCTCCCTTCACAATCAATGTAAGGATCGAGCAGGGATGACTTGGCAACTTACCCCAAACGGCTCGTAGTTCCAAAATTGCTCCATCACGGGCACCACGTCGTAGTGAGAGTTAAGCAAGATGCTCGGGAGGGTCGGATCTTTGCCTTTCCACGTCGCTACAACGATAGGTTTGCCTTCAATGGGAGAGAACACTTGTATGTCCTCGAGGAAACCAAGCTCCGTCATGTACGCAGTCAGCCACACCGCGCACTAGGAATCAAGCAATAACGTGAGGCGCTTCATCCATACGATTATGGACATTTACATCTTGGTACGCTCCCTTGGGTCCTTGACCACTGACCGTGGGAATGCGGAGAAAGTCTTGGAAGCGGCGAATAGCCGCATTCTCGTCAAACTGTGCGGATGTTGCGACCATTTTGAAATGTGAATTGCACAAGGATTCTCAATCATTTTCAAATATGTAGCCAATGACATGGTCAGATGAATCCTATTTAGACCAATCGAAATGCAGAATTGTCGTTCCGACCTTTACAAAACCACTGACCTGTTCTCATGCAGTCCGTAAATGGTCGGAACGTGCGATCCAATTGAGTACACGACCACCCGAGGTCGGAAGACCGATGCACAGACCAGCTATCGTTCTCGGTGAAGACGTTTTCATCACCACTGCAAGTCCTCTCGATGAATATGCATTTCACGATTGCACCGACAGCCCAGAATCCCCTGAACGAACATTTCACAAATCGCTAAAATTTCAAAATTTATGCTGGAAACGTCCATGATTGGCTAAATTTTACAAATACCTCCATTGACAAAGTTGAGGGAGGTCACGCGGCTTGGACGACACCACGGCAAGTCGTCGCTCCCAAGAGGTCCTCCGACTTCCGACCATCAGTGGCTACGGGCCCAAGGGACTGTACCAAGAGTACGTGGCACACCAAGTCGATCAACTGTCACATGGACTGGAAGCCACGGACAGCCGATACCAGTGTCTGTTGGTCGTAATGGCCCTTGAGTTGTCCCCATGAATACAACACGGACGTCCTGCTGTACAACCTAAACGACATGCTGCACATGGACATGTTTGTCAAGGGCACCTTCGAGCACCACTTCGACAACGAAAGGGACGTTTCGAGGTTTCCATGGCACGGGATGCAATGTGGGCAGGTCGTCCTCTCCACACAGTCAGTACTTGCCGAAGATTTCACTTGTTAAATGCCGAGATGGCGAACGCAGCTGTAGGACGGCGACACGGGCGGTGTTCGATAGATTAGGTTGCCACGATGCTCTGGCTAAGTAGGTCGCCCGCTCGTTTCTGACAATTCCATCGCTTTTGCCATATAATGCGGGTCATGTGCGTAGTCAGTCGTGACTCTTTGTCGACGTCGGGGCAGGTCGACAAGTCCAACCCAAACACGGATGCCTCTTCCTCGAGCGTGAAGTATCGACCTTGCGCGAGGCTCTGGGTGCAGATCGCGATGTACCTGATGTAGGTCCCACCACCAACGGGCTGTGGCCGCATCTCGACCCTACCGTCGTGATGAGCTTGTTCCAAGGAGCTTGAGAGATCAGGTTGGACGAACCAGAACTTGCGATTCCGCTGGCGATGATGGTGGTGGTGCTTGGTCTGTGTTTCGTCGTCGACGATCTGCTGAATGACAAACATGACTTTGTCGGGGCCGTCATGGAACTCCCCGCCAAGGAACGACATGAACTCATTCGTGTGGGGCGTGATCGCTTGATGCAGCACCGTCGTGTCAGTGGTCTCGGTCAGCGACTAGAGTCAACGTGCTTTGAGTAAGAGAGGGCAAATTGTCGGCCTGGCGCCATTACCTGAACATCGCGATTTTCAAAGTGCTCAGGCATCATTACATCGATCAAATGATGGCGATACATTTCCAAAACGTCGTGTAATGGCCCAGGAAGCACGAACTGCCGTTGCAACGTCAGGTACATAAGGTCTCCTTCGAACGAGACGTCGATCGCCGACACATCCTCCCATGGCGATGCCGGCGGGAAGTTTTGGAACATCTTGCCAGAGTTGTGATACATGTGCTGTGTGATCCATGCCTTCCCCAGACGTCTTGCCTGAGGATCGGCGAGCAATGTCGCCAACCGCCACGATGGCTGCGCCGGGCTCAACGACTCCTGCGGGCTCATTGAATGAGCGATGGTGCTGAATGCATGCAGACGAGAGTCGGACGCACCGTGACGCGTTCACATGATGCAACCCATCGTTGCATGTTGCCAAGGAGGTTTCTGTACGCGCCAACTTGGCTCTCGAGCCCCTGGTTGTCGCCTGCACACGCTTGCAGGTCTTCGTGTATGGCGTGTGAAACGTCACGCCACGACAGCATCGTGGACGATTCCTTTCGCACAGACGATCTGCGCACGAGTTCGGCGAGTTGCACAGAGAGTTCGTCGATGCGCTTGATCAGGTACTCGCGGCACTGTCGATGCTCATCGCGGTAGATTCGCATCATCTTGCGAATGTAAAGTCTTTGCTTCATCTTCTTATCGAGCGCTTTCTGTGCCGCGGCAGGGTCCACGGACGGCAGCGGCGCCGTCGACGTCGGCTTTGTCTGAGGACTCATGGACCAATTGTGGTATGAGCAGCAGCGGCACGATTCCCACGTCCTTGCCCAAGAGAGTGTATTCATTGATAAAGGTTTCGCCCTCCATATTTTTAAATTCTGCACATTGTGTGGCGGCATATGTACACTATGGGGAGAGAAATTCAATTCTATGGTCGGGCCATAAATGGGTATATACATACAGCAACATGCACGGTGAAGGTATATGCAATTCCACAGGTCGGATGGCGGCGAAGCGAGGCGGACATTCCTGCACGATCAAGCAGTCCAGGCTACGCGCGGCCCCTAGCGTCATCGTACGCTCACGTCAGAGTTCCGCCAAGCCATTGTCTGAGCTGGACGGGCCCGCACAATGCCCGACGTCGCGCCCCGACCTTGAAGTACTCACGGAAGAGGAGCGCGTCGCCCCAGCCTCTGCATACCACCTTGCACCCACAGAATGCACGAATGACCAGCTACTTGTGCACGCTATCGAGAAAATTCCACTCGTTTGTATGCACCACTGGCTCTCTTTTCCTGCCCTATGCATAAAGCTTAGCCCAGATGGAGCGACGAACGAATGCGATGCCGGACGCTCGAGGGAAGCTGGCCATGTCCTGGCCAAATGCCGCCAGTTGGAAGAGTAGCTGCACCAGTTACGTGACATTTGGAGGCGTTTCGTCTCTTCGGAGGGCGTGAAACGGCCACACCAAAGGAGGAGGTCGAGGCGCGCGTCGGCCAGCGTGTGCTCCGACCATGAGCCACGATACTGTCCCGGAGCCGACAGCGATCAATATGTTCGGGCAACGTCTCAGCCATGTTTTCAGCGGCGGAGGCTTTCATGCGAGCAGCACCCGCCTGCTCCAGCGAGCTAGCTCCAAACAACTGCTGTCGGTCGCGCCGTTTCCCCCTGAAAGGCCGAGTTTTTCAGCCAAGTCATGGCGCAACTCGATCGGGTTCGAGCCTCAGGTATACGGCCGACGCGTTCCGGGAGGCCTGGCTTCATCGAGCGTGTAGAGGAGAGCGTCAAACAATAGCTCGACCCCTGCCATTCGCAATGGGGACAGCATCATGGCCCTGCGTGCGGTCGCCAAGCTGAATCGCAACCTCAAGATGTCGCACCTGACAAAGAAGACGCTTCAGAAGCTCGACATCGATCGCCACAACAAAGTGCTCGACCAATACACGCTACGACAGCACAAAACGACGGCGAATTCCGTCGTCACTCAGGAATTTCCCCTCTTTGTCGTGAACCCAGCACTCACGTGGTACAAGATCTGGCAATTGGTTCGTCTGCATGCGCCAACCTCCATCCCGTCCTGATCGTCGACGCTAGTTTACGCTCATGCTGATCGTGTACCAAAGCTTCCAAATCCCGTACGCGTTGGGGTTTGGCAGCAACAACGCCGGGTCGAATCCGTTCCACGACTACGAAGGCATCACAGTCAACTTAATCTTCGGGACGGACTTTGTTCTGAACTGCATCACGGCGATTCCCGACCCAACGCGCCCCAACTACTACATCACGCACCGCTTCTCGATTCTGTGGCACTACCTCCGCGGCTGGTACGCCCATCCTGAATGGTTGCGTCACACCTTCGCCACTAGGCTGTTTTTGGACCTTGCCGCGTGCTTCCCCATCGATATCGTCATGTACATGTCCGTGGGTGCCGGGAACGGAATCAACAGCAGCCTCACGTTCCTCAGTCTCCTCAAAACGGTGCGCCTGCCCCGGCTGCTGAGGTTGGCGAGGCTCGTGCGAATCCTCAAGATCCTGCAAATCCCACCCGAGTACAAGCGATGGCTGCTCTACTCCCGCTACGCGCACCTCATTCGTCTCATCTCGACCATTATCGTGTTCTTCTTCACGATTCATCTGTGCGCGTGTGTGTGGAACGGGTCGGTTGCGTCCGATCAGTGGAAAGACATGTTTCCGTCCATCGGAGACAACGACGCCAACGACTACGTGCTCAGTTACTTCTTTTGCCTCTCGACGTTCTTGGGCCAAACCATGAACTTGCACACGCAGGACGAGGTGGTGTTTTCGATCGTGCTCATCTTTGCCGGCGCCCTGCTCATGGCGGCCGTGTTTGGCGACGTTGCCGTCCTACTCGCCAACTTTCATGAAAAAGAGAACGAGTACAAGAAGAAGGTACGACTCCCCAAAAAGCCCACGTTGTTTTTCCAAACGCGTCACATCGTCCGTGGTCGGCGGCGTAGATGGAATCGTTGTTTGCGTGCATGAGCACGATGAACCTCCCGATGGACTTGCAAAACCGAATCAATGAGTTTTACCAGACCATGTGGGAAACCCACGCAACGTTGGACGGCCAGCCCGCAACGCTGACGAGTGAATTGTCGCGCAACTTGGCGCTTGAAGTCGAGTTGTTTCTCCGCATGGAAATGATCAACCGCGTGCCGATCTTTCGCACGTGCAGCAAACGGGTCGTTCAAGAGATTGTGATGAAGCTGTCGATGGAAGTGTTCTTGCCCGGCGACTACGTCGTCGTCCGGGGGGACGTTGCGTTTGAAATGTACTTTGTCCAGACCGGGATCTGTGAAGTCACCAACGGCGGCCGCGACTCGTCGTCGATGGCGGATGTATTGGTGCACGAGAGCGAGACCGTCCTGCGCTTGCTCCGGCAAGGCGACTTTTTTGGCGAAATCGCGCTCCTCATGCAGTGCAAGCGCACGGCGAACGTCCGCGCCAAGATCTTTGCCGAGCTTTGTGTCTTGACCCGAGATGTGTTTGAGTCGATTTCGGAGCGGTATGTCGAGGATCGCGCGCGGATGGAGAGGCACATCACGGAAAAGTACGACCCCGCCGTGCTCCACCAAATCGCCGAGCAAAAGATGCGCCAGAATGCTCCGATCGATCCGTCGGCACCCACGAATGGATTGGGGACTGTCAAGCCGATGGTCGATGCGATCATCGCGATGGGCGACCGCATGACCAAGCTCGAGGCCAAGTTTGCGCTCATGGAATCGCATCAAGACGCTTTTCTCGCCGAGATGCGCCACCTCATGCGGCCAGCAACGATGACGACATCGCCACGACTGTCTACAATCTGTCGGGAACCGGGCAGTCCACACCAGTACGACAACTCGTCCGAAGACGACGAAGTTGGAGCCGAGGTGTTGCCAGAATAGAAACGTGTGCAAACTACTTATGCCCACACAAAACTTCCGCACCGGCCACCGTCCATGAACGATTCGTCCTTTCATTACCCCATCGGTGAAATATGCCGCCGGGCTGCGCTGCGGTCCAACGACGCTTGCGCCGTGAAATGGCCCACCGTGGACGATGGAGTTTCAGATATCGTGTCGACATCGCTGGGTGGATGGCCGAGGTGGGCAGTCGACGTGGCCGGGGAGAGCAGGCTCTTCTTTGAGATGGAGGCTCGCAGGATGGACAGGTTGGGGGGCGTCGCAGGGAGGTTGGACGACGACGGTTGGCGTCCAAACATGACGCGCTGGGCCGACATTTGCCGGGACAACCCCATGTGGCTCGGCGATACGTCGCTCGACGACGCCATCGACTGAAAATGCTGCTGCATGCGTAGCCGTGTTTCCAAGTCGATGCACAAGGTTTCGACTTGAATCACGCGGTCCGTCAGCTTGCGAATGCACTCGATGACAGCGTCGTCGTGGTTGGCATCGTTGTCGTGATGCTTGTCGTGCTGGGCCACTGCCTGCCGGAGCACTTCGGGGTCGTACTTTTCCGTGATAAACTTTTCAATCACGGTGCGATCTTCCGTGTATTTGCTCGTAACTTCTTCAAACATGACACGGGACAGCACGCACAGCTCCGAAAACTCGATGGCTTGAACGTTGGCGGTGCGTTTGCAGTTGAGCAGCAACGCGATTTCGCCTAGGCGCATATCGTCCCAACGTTTTGATGGACACAGATAGATCGTCGTACCAAAGTAGTCGCCTTGGCCCATCCGCTTGGGCGCGGTGTCGGCATCCTTTGGGCACGACCGTGTCGCTCGGCGCTTGATCATTGTCTGCGTGACTTGGCAGCTGCCGTTCTGAATAAAGTACATGTCGTGGCCGACTTCGCCGCGAACGATGACAAAGTCGTCTGGCAAGTACACTTGAAAACGAAGCTTCATCACGAGCTCCCGCACGACTTCGTTGCTACACGCGCGGAACAGCGGCGTTCGTACAATCATCGCCATGCGCAAGAAGAGTTCGACCTCGACCCGCAAGTTTTTCGACAGCTCGTCCTTGAAGTTTTCGGGGTGGCCGTCGAGCGTGCCGTATCGCTCGTACATGGCCTGGTAATACTCGTGGATGCGCATTTGGAGCTCGCGGGGCAGCCGGAGGAGGCGCATGCCAGAAAACAGCGTTTCCATCTGGATACACACCACCGCCGTGTCACGGTCATCGATGGGGTCGTCGCGCTTACCTTGCTTTTGTACCGGTTCTGGTCGTTGTAAAAGTTGGAAATCAAGATCGCGACGTTTCCAAACACGACGGCCATCACGACGGCGCCGACGAGAATCACGCAGCTCGAGAACGTGTACTCGCGATCGTTCTGGAGCAGTTGATTCTGTCCCAAAATCGTTTGAAGCGCCAGGTAGAAGCTCAGCAGGTACGGGTTCACGTCGTCCAAGCTCGCGTCGTAGATGACTTGGGCCCACTCGTCGTCAGCGACAACGCCAAACCACACGCACGCAAACACGTGAACAATCACGCCAAACGCGACGACGAGCGTGATCAACCGAATCAAGTGCGCGTACCGCGAGTACAAGAACCAGCGTTTCCACTCCATGGGGAGTCGGAGAAACTCGAGGACCCGCGACAGCCGCGAGATTTTGATCAACCGTGGCAGGCGCGCCACTTTCAGGACCGCCAACACATTCAAGCGCCGTTCGTTCGACGCTTGCTCGATCATGTACGTGACAAAATCGACGGGGAAACTCGACACGATGTCCATGAAGAACCTGCCAACACGTCAATCGGGTCATATCCCGCACGGGGGACGCACCAGCCCATCAGGTACGTCTTTGCGATAAGTCGTCGGTCCGTGATAAACGCGTCGGGGGTCCGCGGATGGCTCAACGCTGTGTTGAAGTTCACCACGACATCGACGCAAAACACCAACGACATGACAAGGTTGACGTAGTCGTTGGACGGGTCCGCGTCGTTCGAGTCAAAGGCAAGCGAGTACGGGACGGCAAACATTTGGTAGTACACGAGCACGAGGAGCAGCTACAGAGCACACGGCGTGGCTCGACCAATTGTCAAGGGGTTGGGCGACGTACCAATTGCCACAACTTGAACGCGGTCGACGTGGGGTACAGCATCATCCACGTCCGTTTGTCCTTGGCGGTGCGAACTCGCGGGAACGTCTGGGTCGCGCGGATTTGATACGTCTCGAGCACGTGTTGGTGGCGCGTGGCATAGCTCATGACTTCCAACCGCCGTCGCTCGGCCTCCTCGGCGCGTTCTTGCAACTTCTTCTTGAACCGGAGCACGCCGTGCGCCGTCGTGAGGATATTGGGCCGCATTTTCTACGTCGCACACACACTGACGACACGAAAGCCAGGTGCGTCGTACTTTCGAGTCCAACCCGCCCAACGACGCTGGCAGCGACGTCAACAGACGGATCGTGCCTCGCCGAATCGCGTTTGGGAGGGTCGTGGGTGGACTTTGAGTGGCGCCGTCAGCGGTTGGCGACATCGTTGGACGACTGCTCGACGCGGACGTGTCGATGGCTCCCAGCTCCGATCTCTGCCGAGGACGGTCCGCCGCGGACCGCGACGCGTCCATGACGGGCGTTGGATATGCTACACAGAGAGACTAAAAATAACTGGCAAGTCAAGCGTGATGCGAAACGGGTTACGCGACGACCAGAGCGCAAGCGCTGTGCATGGTGGATGCAGCTACTGTTGTGCACCAGCGCCGAGATTTCGTCGGGCTTGTTGGCGGTCCGCGTCTCGATACCGCGGCTGCCAAGGAAGCGTCCGCCGCCATCACTCCCATGGAATCCAGCCCAATCATGACTTTTCATCCGACACGGCCTCTTGCTGAAGGTGGGCACTCGACGCACGCTGACCACCCACCTCCAACTTCCAGCCACCACGTTTCGACGGCACAAAACGCGGATCCTCGTCGGCCGTCGATTGTCGCGATGATCTTAGGTCGAGCGGTGGGATCGATGATGGTCACGCCATCCCCCGACGGTCATGCGCCGCTAGCAAGCGGGCCCGAAGACTCGGTGTTGCGTCGGGCGACGGCCAGTATTCAAAGCGCAGCCAACATACTTCGACGCCAAGGGTCCGAACACAGCCACAACGGGTCCAACAGGCATGGCCTGTGGCACCAAGAGAGCGGTCCATTCAGCAGCAAGTCGCGCGGGTCCGATGGGTCCATGTTGTTGAGGCAGAGTTCGAGAAGTGTTCGTGAGCGGAAGGGCCAAGTCGAGCCCATGGTAGAAGAGCCGTCCGGTGAAACGGGAAGGATCATGCACCAGAGCGAGTCGCGGTCGCGCGACGGTTCGACCCACCGATTCGGTAGCTCAAAGACACCGGAGGGCTCCATGCGTAAAAATCCCGCGGCCCCTCCGCCTCATGGGAACGAAGATCCGCACACCCAACACCGACCGTCCATGCTCCAGCTCGCGAATGTGAGCTTCAAAAACCTGACTGGGATGATGAATCATCGACCAAGCATGAGCCACGGGACGAGCGACGCAAGTTTCAAGGGAGGTGCGGCTTCGTTCTCGCGCCATTTTGTCCACACCAACTCGGAACTTGCCCCAAAGCAATCGGCGTCGAGTATCTCCCCCCGTGGGTCGACCATCGTCCGCGCGCGGTCTTCCATCATGACCCAAATCAACACGATCGCCGCAACACCGAGGGTCGTCCCGTTCGCCCCCGAAGTGATGGCCCCAACTGCTCCCGCCGTGGCCAGCACCCGGGTGCGTGCATGTTTGTTTATGCCAGTGCTGGTGTTGGGGTGACTAAACTTGTGTTAATTCGCTGCAGCGCGATTCGTCTGCAAGTGCAGCGCGGCCGAGGTCCCTCTCGCGGTTCCAAGTCCTGAGCACAAAGCTCCTCACCCAAATTTCGGCCGCCCATGCCATCGACCACCGACGCATCTCGACAGCGTCCTCCATTGCCCGGCACCATCAAGTTCTCGAGCGGTATCACATCCGAACCCAGACCGACCACGCAGCCCCGGCCGAGCCCACCACGTTGAAATTCCTCGTCTCGCCCGACTCGAAGCTGTACAAGGGTTGGCAACTCGTGAGACTTCTGTCCCTCCATTCGTCCTCCCGTCGCATCATCCCGTGCTTGTGTAGACCATGGTGGCGATCATTTACTACCAAGTCGTCGCCATTCCGTACTCGTTGGTGTTTAGTTCGCCGGACGCGGACCCGACCCACGACACATTTGGGTTGACGACGTGCGCCTTGTTTGCGCTCGACATTGCGCTCAACTTTGTCACGCCGATCACAACCGAGGCGGGCGGCGCCATCGTCACGAACCACAAGCAAATTGCGCTGTCGTACCTGCGTGGTTGGTACGTGTCGACGAGTTGTTTCATGCTGTTTTCGCCTCACACGTCGTCGCTCGTCAACCCCGCCAGGTTTGTCATCGACATGTTGTCGGCCATCCCGATCGAAGCGATCGTGTACTTTTTATCGTCCGACCGCAGCGGCACGTTCAAATTTATCGGCGTGCTCAAGACGTCCCGGTTGCCGCGGTTGGTGCGGGTGCTGAGCTTGGCTCGCATCCTCCAGTTCCTCCGGATCCCGTACGAGTGGAAACACTGGCTGCTGTACTCCCGATATGCCCACTTAATTCGGCTCTGCACGACGATCACAGCGTTTGCATACATCATCCACATCATGGCGTGTTTGTGGTACGGCGCGGTCGCGTCGCCGCAATGGCTCGACTGGATCGAAACCAACTACAAACTCAAGACCGGCAGCAACGCGTACGTGCTGAGCTACTTTTGCATGCTCACGACCACGATGGGCCAAAGCAATAACCTGTACACGAACACCGAGTACGCGTTTTCGTGCTGCTGCATGATTCAGGGCTGCCTCCTCATGGCCGTGGTGTTTGGCGACGTCGGCGACTTGATCTCCAACTATTACGAGGACCAAAACAACTACCACCAAAAGATGGAGTCGCTCCTCGCGAGCATGGCACTCATGCGCATCCCGTCCGACTTGCAAACGCGCATCTGCGACTACTACGAAACCATGTACGCGCGGTACGGCACGCTTAACGGGGACACGGTCCTGTTTACGAAGGAACTGTCCAAGAACTTGAGCACAGAAGTCGAGCTGTACCTGCGGATGGGCATGATTACGCGGTGCCCGATGTTTCGGCTATGCAGCCCCGAATTTGTCCAGGAACTCGTCATGCAGCTCGGCTTTCAAGTGTTCATGGCGGACGACTTTGTCGTAGCGCGCGGCGAAATCGGGTACGAAATGTACTTTATTCAGTCCGGGTCGTGCGACTTGATCCAGCACCAAATCATGTTTGACGATCACACGCGCAAAAAAAACAAGCCCATCCACCAGGCGACGGGGACACTGGTCCGCACGCTGCTCGAAGGCGACTTTTTTGGTGAGATCGCGCTCCTCATGAACTGCAAGCAGACCGTGACGTTGAAAGCAACCATGTTCACCGAGATCTGCGTCCTCACGCGCGACCTCTTCCACGACATCACGGCCAAATACGTCGACGATCACAAAGTGATCGAGTCGTTTATCCGGGAAAAGTACGACCCCCACGTCCTGAACGCGGCGCTCGAGATGCAGATCGATCCACTGAAAGCCAAACGAAAAGCCATCATCAGCTGCCTCAACGACCTGGCCGAGCGCCTCGAGTTTGTCGAAGCTCGCCTCATTCGCCTTGAAACGTGCGGCAGCAACGTCGATGCGACGCACTACGACCACCACCACGACATTCACGAGCACAGCGCGATGCTCGACATGCGATGACCCGTACAAACGACGAGAGCGCAGAAGCATGGAAAACAATGTTAACCATTCCACTCTGCACTCGATGTGACATACGCGTGAGCAGCTTCCTCTCCCCACACAACAAACTGATCCAGCACGTCGTTGGGTGGTGGCAGCAGCGCCCAACGTGACAGCTGCGCCAACGAGATCGGAAATCCATGGATCCACAGTGGACTAATCGTCCGGCGCTTATTCATCCACGGCAACGGAAACACGTTGACCGGTATGTGGTCTGGAACGTCCGGGACGAACTGGAGGAGTCCACCGTCGGTATGCCATTGCTTCGTTCCGGCGATTTGTCGGGCGGGCGTGCCGTCGAAGTACCACGGCACGTGACACGAGATCAGAAGCGTGTTGGCCAAATCGTTCTTGGTTGCAAACGACGACCAGTGCACGGTGCGCAAGCGGGGAAACACCTCCGTGGTGGCGACCACAAGGCGTGGGAGCGGGTCGGACGTGCTCGGATGCAGGACGGGGAGCGGATCCGGGAACAAAGCATCGATGTGGCGATATACATACCCTGCGAGGTTCTTGGCACCCAGGAGACCTCGCTTGGATGCACGGATGTCCTCATGCAACAATGTCGCCGTGGCTTTGGTCTCTTCCAATACGACGGCCAACGGTATACCATATGCCAAGCTAGCGGCGACGAGTGAGCCTCCCGAGGCTCCAGCGAAGCGGCTGGCAGCGGTGAGCACGCCATGACGACGCATGTACTTGGCGACACCAATGTGGAACGCCAAGAGAAACCCACAACCTCCAAAGCTCAAGTGGACTGGCTGTGCCATGCTGAACGGCGGGTAGCAAATCTAGGGTTACCTGTAACAATCGTAGGTCGGGATCATTGCATTCCTCACATGATGTCGATGAATTAAAGTGCGGTGTAGCAAGGCTCTAGCTCGGCGTGATCTGAAGAGTGTTACCGAGGAGGGTGGGCCAGCGTGGCGACCGAGTGCGGCTCCAGACTGGGACGAAGACAGGTTTCGGGATTTGCCAACGGTATTGCAGACGTCTTGAATCGGAAATATGCAGCTGTGTCCTTCGAGAATATAAGAGACTTGTTTCGAACGAAATGGACTTCCGTGGAAGGGTACATGCCCAAGATACTCCAATGCCATTGGCTTAAATTATTGTGTTGGCACCAATGGCTGAATGCCATGAGAACTTAACACCCAATTGAATATCGTTATGTTCCATCGCCGCCGATCTCCGGACGTACAATTCCACTTCCCGTCACGATGGCAGCAGCTCGGATCATCACCAACAAACGTGGCATCACGCTTGGCGACAAGATCGAAGACTTCCACTTTGAGTCCACCCACGGCGCGCTCTCCCTCAAGGAGTACTTCAACGGCAGCTGGGGCATCCTGTTCTCGCACCCCGACGACTTTACCCCAATTTGCACAACGGAGCTCGGCGAGTTGGCACGCATAGACAACATGGGAGAATTTAGCCGCCGCAATGTCAAGGTCATTGGATTGTCTTGCAACGACGTCGACAGCCACAAGCGCTGGATCGAAGACATCAAGGCGTACTCTGGCGAAGATGTGAAGTATCCCATCATCGCCGATAAGAATCGTGCGATCGCTGTCGAGCTCGGCATGCTGTCCTCCGACGATCTGGACAAGACCGGTCTGCCTCTGACTGTTCGCTCCGTCTTTGTGCTCGGCCCCGATCTCGCAATCAAGCTCACGTTGACCTACCCTGCCTCGACTGGCCGCAACTTTGTCGAGATCCTTCGTGTCGTCGACTCCCTCCAGCTCACGTCGTACCAATCCCTTGCGACTCCCGTGAACTGGGTCAAGGGCGAGAAGGCATGCATCGTCCCGACAGTGTCGGACCAAGAGGCCGTGGAAACGTTTCCGAAGGGATTCAACACGGTCGCCTTGCCGTCCGGCAAGGGGTACCTTCGATTCACGCCAGACCCTTCTGCTTAAATATTGTCTGCTCACGGACGTTTGCCTCACTCTTCTTGGACACCGGACAGAAACATCAACGATTCGTCGGCGAGTGCATATGGCGTGGGTCGCGTCATGGACGATCGTGGCAGGAACGCCGTGCTTGTTGTCGTCGTCGCAGCGCTGCTGTCGCCCTGCGACGGCTTGGGCATCGTGGAGGACATCTCAACTTGCCAGTTGTGCATGGCCATCAACCGGGCCTCCATGGCGCCGAGGTGATCAAACACCTTTTGAAAGTTGGATGTGATGCGGTCTTGATTCTCTTTGGCGGCGGCCGCTGCCTCGTGAGCCGCTTGCTGCCGCAGGACTTCGTGCACCAACGCGGGGTCGTACTTGCCGAAGATGAACGATTCAATCGACACGCGGTCCTCCACGTACATGTCGGAGATCTGGTCAAAGATGGTGCGAGACAGCACGCACAGCTCAGCAAACGACCGGGCACGGACATTCGCCGTGCGTTTGCAGTTCATGAGCAGCGAGAGTTCGCCTGCAAGCGGTCGCCGTGGTCGTCAGAGGCCATTGCCGAGAGAGAGAGGCGTACCAAAGTAGTCGCCTTGGGTGAGCGTCTTGAGCACGATCTCGTCAGGATGGAGGCCGTCGGCGGCCGACTCTGTAGTGACCGACGACCCCACGCGGTCGCAGTCGATTCCTTTCGTCACTTCGCATGTGCCGCTCTGGACAAAGTACATGTCGTGGCCGACCTCGCCCCGCACGACAATGTAGTCGCCCGCCAAATACACGTTCAATTCCAAACACATCACGATCGCTTCGACAAACTTTTTCGAGCACCCGTAGAAGAACGGCGCGCGGTTGATCATGTCCATGCGAAGGAAGAGTTCGACTTCTTTTGCAAGATTCGTGGACAGCTCGCGCATAAACTGGTTTGTCGTGCCGTCGAGCGTCCCGTACTTGGTCCACATCGCTTGGTAGTACTCGTTGATGCGGTGCTGGAGCTGCGGCGGTAGCTTCATCAAGTCCATGCTGGTAAAGAGGGACTCGATCTAATGCCATTGCATCGTGTGAGACCGCTGTCGATCGCACAGAGATGACCGAAACACACCTTGCGCTTGTACGTGTTGTTGTTTTCGTAAAAGTTGGCGAGCAAGTCGGCAACGTTCCCAAACACGATCGCGAGGACGAGCTGCCCGAGAATAGTTGCCACGGACGAAAACAAAAAGTACCGCGTCGATCGGATCGGAAGGCTTTGCCCGAGCATCGCCATGAGCGAAATGTACACGCTGATCACGTACAGGTCGTACACGGTCGTGGCGTCTGACTCGGGAACGATCTCCATGAGCCAGTCTGGCTTGGCGATGAACCCGCCCCACACACACGCGACAAGATGCGTGAGGGTCAGGTAAAACACAATCAGAGACACGAGCCGAATCAAGTGCGAGTACCGCGAGTAGTTCAGCCACTCGAGCCACTCGGGACTCACACGCAGCAATCGAAGGATCGTGCTCATGTGGATGAGGCGCAGGAGCCGCGGCAACCGCCCTTCACGCAGCAGTCCCAGCACGTGAAAGTCTTGGTACTTGTCCGGGCCGACCAAGTTGTACACGACGAGGTCGAACGGGACCGTCGACACCATGTCGACGATAAACCTACTCAGCACACGCCGCAGCGGGCATTCCGTGAAGAGATGTCAGGGTGGACGTCGCGCACGCACCATCCCGTGAGGTACTGTTTGACGAGCCGCGACCGCTTCATGACGTACTTGGACGGGTCGTGCGGGTCCCGCGTGATCGTATTGCATCGAAACAGGATGTCGACGGCGAAGAACACGCTCGACGCAATGGAAAACATGTCGTGAGTCGGACTCGCTCTGTCCTTGGCGCTGACAAACGCGAGGGAAAACGGGATCCAGTACGCTTCGACAACGGCAATGACGAGGCCAATCTAACCGTGTCAAGTCAAAACAAGGAGGGGCGTCGACCACTGCCGTACAAGCTGCCACGACTTGAACCACGTGGACGAGGGCTTGATCAAGTAGGTTGACTTGACGCCACATGAGTTCGTCATGTCGTCGTCTTCCGCCTTGGGTTTGTGCAGCTCTCGTATCTTGTATTGCGTCAGGACATTTTGATGCCTGGCAGCAGCTTTTGCGTGCAATTGAGCTTCCATGTGCTTGCGAAAACTGGACTCGGCCTCGCGCTCGCGAACTCGTGCGAGCTGACTGTGTAACTTCGCCGACGCCACGAGGACTCCCGCCGTGGCGGTCGTGCCCTACACGGAGATCGGTCGAATCCACGAGGGGCTGAGAGTTGAGAAATGTACTTGTTTCATGGAGGTTCCGGTTTGGGGAAAGGATTGGGCGGTCTCGAGGTTGTGCATGCTGTTGATGATACTCAGTCGTTCGGGGGCAAACGGCAACACTCGGGTGTTCCCTCGTCCCGACTTTTTCCGATCGTGGCTACTGGTGGACGCTGGAGCAGCACTTGTCGAAGGCAGCTTCTTGTCGCTCCCGACGCGGCGAAGGATCATCGACGGTCTCTCCGCCATGCTGCGAAGGACTTTGATGGGTCCGTCAGTGGCCGCATGGAGGAGTCGCTGGGACGAAGAGCTTTTGACCACCTTGCCACTCCCATCCTGTTTTCCCGACCCGTCCGCGCCGACGCTATCTTGCTTGGTGGACGTTCCCATTCAACCATGCACGGATGGACAACGGACACAATGTCTGCAGTTACACTTTGTGAAACGCTTACAGGCGCATTTGTAACCGACACCTGCAATCCAATCAAAATAACTTAACGTTAACGATTATACGATGGGACGTCAGTCCGTTCATAGAGGTCGAGGGTGCGGCAGTGGTAGGCGTGGTGGTGCGAGGTGTCCATCACGAGGTCGTGTCCTTGTTGTGCAATCGCTCTTGGTCCTCCAGCACAGTGGACACTTCTTGGATGGTTTTCCGCATGTCTTTGTTCGTCTCAAACGAGCTGCGTCGTCGTTGAGATGTGGTCGACATCAGCGACGACGTCGATTCCGTCAGTTCTCTCTGCATTGCGTGCTGTGACGCGCTAGAGGCGAGATGGGATGGGTTCGACAACCCCAACAGCGTCTCCATCATCAACTCGAGCCGTTCCATGCGCGCCGCCGAGTCCTCCATGAAGTCGATGATGTCGGCAACTTGCTTGGACATTCTGGCGTGGAATGACTTTTCGGGGTTGTCCAGTGCCTGCTGCTTCATGATCGCGTCCAGGACCTTCGGGTCATACATTTCCGTGATAAATGTTTCAATCTTTTCGCGGTCTTCGGCATATTTGTCGGTGATTTGCTCGAATACGGTCCGGCTGAGCACGCACAACTCGGCAAACGTGACCGCGCGGACGTTTGCCGTGCGTTTGCAGTTCATGAGGAGTGCAATCTCGCCAAAGTAGTCGCCCTGTGTGAGTTTCTTGAGGATTTCGTCATTTCCGAAACCAGTCGTCGACGGCTTGGTGACTTCGCACTCGCCGTTTTGGACAAAGTACATGTCCATGCCGACCTCGCCCTTGACGACGATGTAGTCGCCAGGTAAGTACACTTGGAGCTCCAAATTCATGACGAGGTCTTGCACAACCTTCTTGGAGCACTTTTGGAACACTGGGACGCGGTTGATCATGTCCATGCGGACAAACAGCTCGACTTCGACGGCCAAGTTCTTGGACAGTTCGTTCGTAAACATAAGGGGCTGGCCGTCGAGCGTGCCGTGGCGCTCCCACATGACTTGGTAGTACTCGTTGATGCGGTTCTGCAGATCCAATGGCAATCGCATCAAGTTCATGCTCGACAGGAGCTGTTCCATCTACAGCGCACGACGAGTGTTAGCCCCCCACTGGATGGCCACATCCATGGACACTACCTTCTTCCTGTAGTTGTTGGGGCTCTCGTTAAAGTTGGAGATTAAATCGGATACGTTCCCGAACACCATGGCCATGAGCAGCGCGCCAACAACCACGACAAGACACGAAAACGTGTACTCCATTTCCGTGCGGAGGGGGACGCTTTGCCCCATGAGCGTCGTCAGGGTGTAGTAAAACCCGAGCACATACGTATTGGTGACGATGCTCTCGGGAAATACATCGTCGACCCACTCCGGGTTGAGCGAGTTCCAGACACAGTTGAGGATGTGGGTGCAATATAAAAACGACACGATGAGCTGGACGACGCGAATCAAGTGCGCGTAGCGAGAGTAGAGCAGCCACCGCTTGAGCTCTGGTGGGATGCGCAAGAGGCGAAGGATGCGGACAAATCGAGCGAGCCGAAACAGTCTCGGGAGCCGCACGACCTTGAGCAGAGCAAAAATGTTGAGGTTGTTTGTAAACGACGACGACGACGTCGACCCTTCTGACTTGTTGCGCAGCACCAAGTCCACAATCAAGTCGATGGGCAAACACGCGAGCAAGTCGAGCAAGAACCTACAGTCAGTCGTCAGCGCGATCGCGCTGGACCAAACGACAGCCGGCGTACCATCCTTTCAGGTATGCCTTGGCAATCGTCCATCGATTCGTGATGAGGATGTCAGGGTTTTCCGTGTCCGCGATCGCCGTGTTAAAGTTGAACATCATGTCGAGGCAAAACACAATCATGACGAAATTCGTGAGCGGTGTGCCCGTCGCTGGCGTGTCGTTGGACGCTTCGAACGACAGCGAGTACGGGATGTACACGCTTTGGTGCAGCACGATCACGAGTGTCATCTACGTGGGAGCAGGATGAGCGACGTGTGCCGAGTTGTATCGACTGCGTACCAGTTGCCACACCTTGTACCAGCCGTACGTGGGTAGGATGAGGAGCCGCTGCGACCACCCCACCAGCACCGGCGTGATTTCGTCGACTTCCTCGGCCTTGACGGTGCGGATGTTGTACTGCTGCAAGACTTTTTTGTGACGCTGGAGAATTCCCTGCACCTCGAGCTGTTTGTTGTGCCACGTCTCCCGCCTTGCCTTGCGAATGAGCTGCGCTTTTCGCTTGAGCTTGGAGCTTATCATAAACGATTTCGCTGCCGAGTCCATGTTGTGGCCCACGATCTGCACACGGCAACGTCTTGAGCATTGGGTGTGAGGTTTCTACAACGCGCAGTACCTGGGGAAGCACGACTGCTCGAGCAGTCGTACTCGTTCGAGTGGCCGAACTCTTTGCCGCGGCAGCGATGTCGACGCGGTCGGGGGCATCTGGAACAACTACCGGGCCTTTGTGGGCATATGGAAACGACTCCTGGCGCACCACGCCATGGCTCGGGCGGCGAAGCGGTAGGCGGCGCGACGAATGATTCCCTTCGTTCTGGCTCTTCAAGTTGGACGAGCTGCTGTCACCACCAACTAGGGCGTGCGATACTGCATTGCGCATAGTGGACATCCTCACGATGTGGCGGCGAATGCTGCCTTCATGTTTCTCATTCGACGAAGGCTTCCGTACCAGCGTAGGCGGCATGGAGAACGGATTATCAGCTTCCAGTGGTTGGTGCCGCCCGATGGACTCTCTCTTTCGGCTCATGCTTTCTCGCATCGACGTGAATGCACCGCGAACATGACCGGACGATCCAGCTTGTGCGAAACCCTTGACCATGATGGACTTGAGAAAAGAGGATGACCCCTGGTGGCCAACTGGGATAAGTCCCCGACCCGATCGAATCGACCCAGACGGTTGCGGCAGAAGTGGGGGTGTCTCGATCGGCTGCGGAATCGAGAGCGAAGCCGGACGGAGCCCTCCGCCGTCCACGGCGGCGTCAGTGAGCTCACTTTTCGTCGGCAATCGTTCGAGCCCTCCTGGTGCCGGGTGAACTTTTGCATGTTGATCACTCTGGTCCGATGTTGTTGCGGAAGGGGTGTGTGGTGGGGGTTGACCTATTGAGGCCATAGGGGGGCCATGAATCCGATGACGCGGAGGCGATGAAGGTGCGACGGATATGGTGGCCGTGGCGCTGCGGAGCGAACCACGGCGCTGCTATTTCTGAACTCTGTGAAACGATTCGAGCAGTTTCGTTGGACTCTTGATACACTGCCTCGCAGTGCCCCCCTTACCTGAACTACAGGTGCCTTTCGCGTTTGGCATTGGCCACGTGTTGAACAGCGTGTGCGACACAGTGCGTATACATTGCGTGTGCTAGAGAAACTAGCGGTGCCTCGACTGAAAACCATCCAACAAAGCCATCCTCAAGTTCACTTGCAGACAGATACATGGGCGCCCAAGCCACATGGATGGTCGTTGTGTCGTTAGCACGACTCGAACCAATTGATTTTCGTCGACTCCCCTGCGTGGATGCTTGGTGAACTTCGCGTCCGTCGTCGTGCGTGCGCATCGTTCCTTGTCAACTTGGCTTGACATGACGCAAAACAGAAAGGCATCGTGGAAGTGTTTCAACGATGAGAACTCTTTGGGGCAGCATCGTGAATAAGGAGTCTACTGTCTGTTGTGCTGGCTGACTGAAGCACCGTGGGTCTGAGGTCGTAGCCCCGGGCGAGTTCTCCCTGGTGCAATCTTTCGACTGTCGTGAAACTTCCTACACGACGACTCGGGGTGATATCACGCTTCAGCCAATCGGTCCGTGTCCTCCACCAGCCTTGTGCCGAAAGACTTCAAAAAGGAGCCAAAGATACGGCGTTTCGTGGGGGTCGTTAGCATGCCCACCCCCTCCCTGCCGAGCAAAATTTCTTCGCTGTCCTCATGCAGCGTGCCGTTTGATGCAGGCTTCGACGTGATCGCTGCTTCACGAACTAACTTACTCAATACATGGTGCACCCCAACAGCCTCGATGTTGGATACGGTGCCGCCGGACTTGGCAAACAGTGTGAGCCAAGGGATTCGACTCCACATTGCAGGCGCTATTGATAACATTCCCGATTTTGCACTCAGTGCTCGTGTTTTGTCATTGCGGCCGGTGTCGTCGCGGTGTTCCAAGTCAACGTGTCCGGTCGTGTGCGAGACGGAACCGAGCATCGTGGGTGAATCACGCACTCGTCGAACAAACGAGTTCTCAAAGTTGGCGCTCGACCGAATGGTACTCGCGCCTATTTCCATGGACACAAATCAAGATCTCCATCAGCAGTCGAATCAGCGCTTATCCATAGGACAGGTCACCGCATGTCAGCGGTGGCGACGATAGAGAGCTTATCCAACGCGGGGCATCGACCCCTGCACGGTTTGGATGCATGCTCACTTGAAACCAAATGCAATGGGAACTAGTGCTCGTGGTGCCGACGTCGTCTGCGTGCTGGCTGGTGGCAATAGGGTCTTGTGTCCAAGGACACACCACAACGGGCACTCTTGTTGACGATGTCGACTCCACCGCCAATGTGCCCATACCTCCACCTCGCGATGTCGAACGGGCACCACAACCTGCCTTGAAAAACGGATACAGTTGAATTGGAACCGCCATGAAACGAACGGTCGCAGCAGCGGCGGTGGCGACGGCCGCGGCCATCAACCCATCGGACGTGTACTCTGTGTTAATCCAAACTTCTGCAGGCAATGTGACGTTGGAGGTGTGGTTTGTACCCTGTTGTCGAGTCCACGATGGCGTTGCATAGGTGCATCCTGCGTGGGCGCCGGTCGGTGCCGAACGGTTCACGCAGCTCGTTCACGATGGGTTTTACACGAATGCAGCGCTGTTCCGATACGTCCCCAATTTTGTCGTTCAGTGGGGGCTTCCCAGCGACCCCAACCGCAACACGTACGCTCCGATTCGAGATGACCTTGCTGTCGCGGGCATCTCCAACACTGTCGGGACCATGTCGTTTGCCAAGTCGGGCAAGGACACCCGGACGACGCAAATTTTTGTCAACTTTCGAGACAACTCGCGCCTCGACGCCCTTGGATTTACGCCGTTTGCCGTTGTCACGTCCGGCCTCGACGTCCTCGTGAACGACGTGTACTCTGGATACAATGAAGCGCCCAAGCAGCCAAAGATCCAAGTGGAAGGCAACGTCTACCTCGACCGCGAGTTTCCTCTGCTCACGCACATCCGAGCGGTGTCAATGATGTTGCCATCGCAAGATACTGAATAAAGCGATCGACGTGCTTTCATTCCCCTTCGTGTGACTGCCAGGACGCTTTCTTCAGCGCAAAGTCGGTTGAGCAAATTCGATGCCTGTTTGTAGTGACGACC